GCATCAACTAAGAATACTTCTAGATCTCTTCAGATTTTCATTTTCCAAATGCACAAGATGAAGCTTTGCATTGTTATAGTGCAGTAAAACACAATATACACATTTTTCATGGAAATGCTAAAAAAAATTTTAAATCTGAAACTTTTTTTTTTATTTTAACAGTTGCCCAAAACTATCTTTCAAAGTTTAGTATGGTTTATCAGTATAGATTATCAATAGTGATGGTGCAGGTGGAATAGGAAAATATTTTATAGGATACTAAATGGAAATATATTTAGATAGCACTGGAATGCTATATCAAATCAAACATTTTAGAGGAGAAATTTTCATATCAAGATTCTATTGTAATAAAATAAAAACAAAATAGAGTTAATACTTTGTATTTATCTTTGGGTGTTTTTGCCAAGATTATAAACCTATTCATGCATGTCATTTTACTTAATTTTACTTCTAATATGCAGTAACAGAACTTTCATCGAAAATTGTATATTTTTAATATTTTTATTATTTTCTTTGTAAATTATGTTACTTATTTTGATACCATATTTTATTAAATAATTTAAGAAGTGCATTTTGTTCATTTTCAACAAAAAATTAAAGCTTTGTGAGCTGGATATTATTTAATGAAGTTCTTGATTATTATGCTTTTAAATAATTGTGAATAGATAAATATTGAATAAAAAAGTGCATTTCCTCAAAATTTACTTATAAAATTAAAATGCCTACTGATAAATTTACATTTTCATGTAGAAATTTCGTATAATCTTAATATTTGTCATCAGCTCACCTTCATACTTGTTGTGAGTACACATACAAAGCTCATAATCAACTGAAGGTTACAGTAAATTCATACTAAACCAATTTAATACTTCTTTTCATTGTACTTTCTTCCATTGTAAATCCTTACATTCAAGGCCTTCTGCGTGTTCAGGATTACTATGGAGATTTTATCTTTTATATATACATAAAAAATAAATTATGGCTTTAATTTGTAATAGCTCTTAAATTCTGCTTTTCAATTTGACTGTTTTCTCTTTCTCTTTTTTATTCCAAGGACAGTGAAATGCTTATAATAAATTTTTGTGAAGTGAGTCACGTTAGAATTAATGGTTATAATACTGTTGCATGGGTACGGGTTCTTAACAGACTGAATGCACAAAAGTTCGATGATAGGTTGATAAAATTTATTTCATAAACAGAAACACTTCAGAGTTCTGGAACTTTCCACAGAAATACTCGTACAGGTGTTCACGGTATCACAGAGTACAATCAGTAGTAACACTTCAAACTATTAAGAATGCTAAACACAATGCACTGCACAGGGCATCTAAAGAGCAAAGCTAACTCCGAGATATCTCAGTACTCCCCACTCACACTGAGCTAACAGCTACATCAACTCAAAAACTGATGCTCTCGTCGGCTTTCTGTTGTTTCCTCCTGGCCTTCGAGAGATTTCTAGTATGCTTCTCAAAATTACTGGAAGGTATATGAGGGCCGAGATGCGGTTACAGCTACATAGTGCATCAATTACAATCATTCAGTTACCATGTCCATTACAGTTAGACAGGGATTGGACCAGTGGCGTAACTACAACTCTTGGTCCCCTATGCAAAAATTTTCCGGAGCCCTTTCCCAATGACTGTAATGTGCTTAAAAATTAAAAATTAAAAAAAAAAAAAAATAAATAAATAAATAATAACTGCGAAAAGTTAAAAAAAAAATCAAAGATTCCAGGAGCCAAGTTCATGTTTTTATCACATCTGTATTATTTAAAAATAAAAGCCGTTCGACCAGTTGAAAGGTACATAAAAGAAAGAAAGAAAAAAAAAATAATTTCCCTTGAAACTGGTGAAATGAAAAATTTACTTTAGTCGGGTATTTGATGTAGATGATTTTAATTCAGTTACTAAGACGTTTTTGTGGGAGTGAGAGAGACAGATTTTTCTCTCCTTTCACTGAGATGCACACTGATAAAAATGAATAAGTCTATATAAAAAATCTGACGTGTACACCATAGACTTCCTGTATTGAATATTAAATTATACACATTTTTTCTGCATTTCATTTAAACTTATTGGATTGAATTAAATCTACGTTGCCGACAACGCATAAACCACAATAGAATAAATGATTTTTAAAATTCACTGTAGTATTGTTTACCATAGCGACACTCTGGTGCTAGATTCATTACAGTATTAATATATAACAGTTAACTTATATGAGAATTATATAACGGAAACTAAGTTAACTGTATTAATCCAATAATTATATAACTAAACTTATATATTTAGTTCATATTATAACTCATAAGCACAAAATTTATATCATTAAAGAATATAATTATCTAATCGTTGCCACATGTTCTATTTCAAATATATATAAAAGCTAGAATGATGTATAAAAGAAATGAAGTAAACAAACCAAAAAAGAAACAGTTTTTCACAGATGATTGAGTATTTCTCATTTAATTATTCAGTTCTTACTTCTGGAGAAGGAAAAAATCATAAAAAACTCAAAATATATATATTAAAAATTACGAAGTAAATCTTAAACACTTATTTCCTTGAAAAAATTCAGAAAGAATTAAGCATGATTTAATTGGCAATAATAAATTAAGGCGTTATCTTTGTTGTTGCGAAGCTAAGTTTCTAGATTGGCAACAAATCCACTAGTCTCCTGTTTCAAATGTAAACATTAATGGCTGCCTTAAAAAAAAAGGCTAGTGGCACTTAGACAACTTTAAATTGTGATAATTCTAAAAATATTGCATAAATTTATAAAGGCATAAAACCCTCAACCGGAAGATAAAAACAACATAATTCAATATTTTTAAAGAAAAAATGAACAATTTAAAAACATATAAGAGTAAAGAAACTGAGATCACTGAGCCGGGTAACAGAGTTGATATATATATAAATATATTTATACAGTCAAAAGTCGTTAATCCGGACACCCATAATCAAGAATGATCTATAATCCGGACCTCAAAGCTACAAACTTTCTGCGCATGCGTAAATGCATAGTGCGTTCACACATGCGCATAGGCGTTTACGCATGTGCATAATACTTTTACGCATGCGCGTTTAATGTATACCTGACGGCATAAGCTAAAAATTATCTAATTACCTATTTCAGTTAATGTTGTAGATTGCGTTGTCCCTTAATCTTCGAATTGGATCCGGCTTATTATTTTTTGCAGACTGTCAGAGCAATTTTATAAAAGTAAGCTTGAACTTTCGATTATCTCAAACAGAATTTCCGATGCTGGAGCTGCCAAAAGATCTACAAAGCGAAAGTATGTTTCGATGTCCATCAAACAAAAAGTGGAATTGCTGCAAAAAAATGGATAAAGGCATTATCTTTGTTTCTCTAACCATTCCGAAATCTGTTTATCAATTTCACGCTGCTGCGGGGCGGGGGGGGGGAACGTCGCGGCGCACAATGAATTGGAAGTTGATCTGTCAGCACTATCCTTATCTTCAGGGCAGATATTTTTATTTTATTTGGCTTATAATTCTTACTGTAGTATTCATCTCGATGTACTTCGTCTTTGATATGATTAAATCAAATTCCTCGTCATTAAATTCGCTTCCGATATGAAGAAAGTGACACAAGGTTATGAAAACGAAAATTTCGATTGACAAATTAGTCGGTATTCTCGACACAGTAATATAGGACTGAACAGCGGAACTTGTAACTGAACAGAAATTATGTTGTTTATAGAATTAAAAGAAATTATACATAAACGAAGCAACTTAAACAACTTACATTGAAGAAATGTTTAATAAAGTAACAAAATATTAAGCTTTTTTTTTTTTTTTTTTTTTGTAATTTTGATACTCTTTAGATCGTAATTGTTCTTTATTTCTAAATTACGTTTCATATTTTATTTTAATTTCTGCATGCCATTTACCAGATTTAAATTGTGATCTATAATCCTGAAAAATCGATAATCCGGAATCGCCGAAGTCCCGACGAGTCCGGATTAATGACTTTTGACTGTATAATAATAGGGTAAGTATTACCATTTAATAGGTTATTATTATAACTGTAATAGGGTAAGTATTATCCTAAGTATGCTAAAAACTACAGTGCATATTAAATCAGAGTTATGCAAAAATAAAGAATTTCAGAAATGAACTCTTAACTGTATTGACAGAGACAAACTGCGCAAAGCTACGGAAAGCTTCCAGATGAAGACTCTTCTTTCTGAAAGTAATCTTTTCTTTTCATTCTGAAAACGTTATACTGACTTATTCTATAGCAAATTAGTCTTTCCCCTTCTTTTTTGCACAACTAGGTTTCAATTCTGAATTTCTTAGTTATTTCAAAACTGTTATTTTTTTAAAGTTATAATCGAATCTAATTAATTTTATAATTTGAATCGAATGATTTTAGAAATTATATTCAAATCAGTTTCTGTCTGTATATTTATATAAATTAGGCAGAGATACAGATTAATAAGTGTCCTTTTAAAGGAACTCAATGTAATATTGAATAATATTTCAAATCAATTTATGCATAACAATACCCATAAAAATTAACCTTCATTATTTGTAAATACACATTTCTTTGAAAGCAATTAACAAAGAGCAATTAACAACAATAAACATTTAATGTTATGAAGATTTTTTACATCCATTATTTTTAACCAAATGTTTTTTCTAGCCTTTTTTAATTATAATGCCTCAAGTATATGCAACAGCACTAACAATAAAGAATAATTTTAGTCAATGCATTAAGCAGGATTTCACTCATTGAAAAAATAATGATCATCAATGCACATTGATGAAGCCTTTTATTATTTATTTCATGCTATTATTTCTCATTCAGTATACATTGATTAATTGATTGTATTCTGTATTCTATAAATTATAATTTCTAAAATTTTATAAGCCATAAATTTTAATTTTAAAGAGAATTCATTTTACCAATTTAAAATTTTACTGTAAAATTAATAAGCATTTGTTATATTATGTAATTATTTATAATTATTCCAGGCTGATCTTGTTAACAGAAGAACTCATTCTACCAAACTAATCCAGTCACTTCAGAAGAGAAAAATTATAGTCAGTTTACCTTCCCAAGTAATTATTTTAAAAATTTTAATCCTTGGTATTTTTCAATATTAGGCAACGATACTGTAAATATTAGAAGTTATATTCTACATGTAGTAAAATCAGCTAAGTTTTTCTCTTAGCAAAAAAATTTGATTTTTAAAATTTAAAAATAGAACTCAAAAGTGTACACATAATTTTGCTGGATATGAAGTTACTGCTTATTACATTTTCTCATGTAAGAAGTTTAATTTCATGATACAGAGAGCATGTATTTTTAAATTTTCTCCTTTAGTAATTTTAAAAATGCATAATCAAAAATTTCTTTTTAAAAGATTTATTTCTTTCAAAAGGGAATCAGTTGATCTCTTGCCATTTGTCTGTTGAGTTATCAGTACATGGTACATTGTGCATAATCAGAAATTTCCTTTTAAAAGCTTTATTTCTTGCAAAAGAGAAACATTTATCAAGTTACAGTAAGTTGATCTGTTGCCATTTGTCTGTTAAATACATACTACATTGTGAAAAATCTTTATTAACATGATAAGAAAAGAGAACTTTCAGATCATATGCTGTTTTCATTAATAAAGTCAATACAGCCTGAATAGTAATGTGCTGAATATATTAGTTAACTAGCTGATAAAATCAATCATTGCATGTGTGATAATATGTACTCTCAATCTGCATACATTCGCTGACTGGTTTCATACAATGAATTATTCCTATGGAAACCGATAATATACTTTTAATTTATTACAGATCATTATAAAATTATGTAAATTTTTATTTTAATTTTTTAGCAGTTTTTAAATAGTTCATTACTTATTTTATTGCTTTTAATATGTATCTCATATTAACGTTCTAGAACTGAAACATTCTTGATTGGATTCTACTGTAAATGTCATCAGATCTTCTAATATAGCATTTCTAAAAGTCCTATTTTGACAAGGACCTTTAGAAAAGACTTAAAAATAACTTAAAAAAGCTTTTCAAGTGACTTTCAAGTATGCATACTGAACTTTTTTAAATTATAAAATTAAATATTTAAGTGCATTTTATGTACATCTCACTTTTTTTTTACCTTCCTGAGTATTTTTTATAATCATCATTATTTTCATAGCTGTAATATATGTTCTAATTGTAAATTTCTGGGTTAACGTTTTTTTTAAGTTAATAACTTGGCATCTTATCACTTCCAAACATCTATTCATGTCCAATCAGTGACACAGTTACTAGTGTAAAAATGGACCAATTTCCCTAAAATCCTTCACAAAGGCATCTTTCCCCATAAGTAGACAGCCAGAGTGTGCTTTACCATAATCAAAGCAATTGAATAGCTTAGTAATATTTTAGAAGAAAGCACATGCTGATTTTTAGAGCATTACAATGTCTCCAACATTCTCATTACTTTTTTCCCTTCAGATTTGTTTACTTATTAATGCATTAAATGTAGAGGAATACTTTCAAGATTCTGAAATCCTATTAAAATGTTTCACAGCCATAGTATGGTGAGAGATAACTTAGTCCTAAAAGCTTTGACAAATCTTTAAAAATATTTTCCTCTAGATGCCTTTCATTAAAAGCAACTGTGATAATTTTTCTGTCATATACCCTCTTCAACAAATAACAAAACTATCTGCAATATCTGAAGTTTCAACTTTGAGTTATCTTAAATTAATATCTGGCCTTTAAAATCTCAATAAGCAGCAGGATTCTTGATAGTTTTATATTATTTATTTTTAGTTTGATGCATCATTCACAGGGCAAATTAAAATAGGAAATTCTATGTTTAAGAGAAAATGTAAATCTGACTCCATCAAAAGAAAAAGAAAATGATTATGATTCTAAATGATAAATTAAGTTTCTTTGAAACTTTTCACATTTATGAAAAGTCAATAAGTTTTGATCCCAAAAGTGTTTAAAAATGTTATTTTTCTTCTTCTCTTTAATTTTGATCAAATGATGGTAATATATCATTATTAAAGTTGATTGAACTACAACACTGAGTACACGCAATTGAACTACAGCACTAAGTTTACACAGAGTATTTACCTGGTGAAAAGAGATGTTAGATTATTATTTGAAATTTCCTGGAATATTTTCATTAGAAATCAATGTCTTTTGTCAGTTTTCTTAATGACATCAAAATTTTATTACCTGAATTAATCACTATTTAATCTTTTAATTTGTAATTACTGCATATTCTGTTGGTTTACATCTCTCTATGTTTACTGATTCAATAACTATCAGTTTTGCTTTAAAAATTTCTCCTTTTTCTCTTATATACTAGCGGGCAAGCTCACCAGGTGAACGGGCTGTAGTCAAAACAAAATTTATAAGCTCTGTGTACATCTATGAAGAGAAATGCATAAAAACATTTCATTATGAATAAAATCAGTTCAATATAACAACTTTTTCTCAATATCAATAGAAGAATTAACGTGGCAATAACATATCTTGCCAAATATATTAACGTGAAACAAAAAAAAAAAGTTGCCAATAGCAGCTATTTATTTAAAGTGTTCTCATTAAAGAAAAATTTTTACTGTGAGATCACATGCTTTCTTCAGCATCAGAATATGACCTTGAATTTTAACTCTAGTGAGTGAGACTGTTGCCACTCAGAAAAATGAGTGTGAAAATTGGTGTTTTCAGAGTTTTTACTAATATCTCGGCTGATTAAAGTTCTACGAAGATGAGAATGGTCAAAATAACTTCCCACGAATTTTTGGTATTTAGAAGTACCTCTCTCGAAACTCAACTTCCCGCTGTTCTGGAGGGGGTGATGTCACAAACAAACAGACAGATTTTAGTAGCATAGATTAAAAGGTGAAGAAATTAATAATTATCATTGTATATATCAAGTTCTCCTAGCAAAATATCTTGAACTTTAAGTACATCATATTTTAAACTGTAAAATACTTAGATAATTTAGACAGAATTTTTAGAATACCATTTACTTTGTAATCTAATGTAAACAATGTATGTTAAAATACATGAAAAATATCTCACCTACTCTTAATGATCATAAAATTTAATAAGTCTTAATTTTGTAAAGTTTTTTTGTATTAAGATTTTTATTTTTTATGAATGTTATATACATAGATGTATCCAATATTAGACTCCAAAATTCAGATTTTAAATAAAAGGAGAAGGAGTGCAATTTGTATAAAGAGAACACAAAATATGAAGCACATTGAAAATGTCTTAAAAGAAACCATAATAGAAAAACTTTTGTGAAAAAGAAGTATTTAATAGGGAATTGAATGATCTGCTTAGAGATATATAAGTGACAGCAATGATGCATATCTATAATCAATACATTTATAAAAACTCATCCGATGAATCTCTTTCTTCAAGAAGTGCTTGTCATCTCTACATATAATAAAATAAAGAGTCTGTCTGCGCGTGTGTGTCTTTCATTTGCGCTGCGCGTAAGCTAATAGACCCACGGCTACAAAATTTGGTACATAGGTACATCTAGGTAAGGGCCAGTGCACCTCGAAGCGATTTTTTCGAAATTCGAATTCGAATTTTTTTAAAATTTTGTTTTGTGACGAAATCGTGTCATTTTGAGATATAATGGGCTATAGGAAAGCGAGATTTTACTCTATACACTCCATTTTCACATCATGATGAAACATAGGCACTTAGCTATTTTACAAACTTAAAATAAATTTTGTGTTTCAATAAATCGATTAAATACGAATTTATTTAACAAAGTGAGCTTAACACCTTTTCAACGGGATTTTTTCTAAAAAAGCTTATTTTTAAAAATTAACAATTTATTTTTCTTTGATTTTTGAACACGTTAAACTTTCATCCTTGCGACTGCTTTTACAAAAAGAATTTTGGAAAAATGATAATATTTTGTATTTTTAAAAGAAGCTTCCCAGTACACTTCTCACACCTCACATCTTTAAAAATGTGATTTTGGCAACAATTTTCCCATCTTATTTTTGTTGATAGATTTTTGATGAAATTGCATCATTTTGAATAGTTTCATTCTTTTAGAAATATGGGTTTGGCAACAATTTTTCATCGTGTTTCTTATGTCACTGTTTTTAAGAGATTGGCATATTTCATTGTCATTTTTTTATATATATAATACATTTTTATTGATTACGTTATTCTGTAAGTAAAATTCTTCGCAGAATTTTATATTTTTTTAGTTGCTTTCATGCTATTTTTTGCTTATTTCACTTTGTAAGATATTGAAAAGTTTTGCATGATTTTTTTTCTTCAACGGAAAGTTGGTTAATTTTTTTATTAGGATAATTAATATTTGTATTAAGGGATATAGCTTATTTCATTGTAATTTTTTTTCTCTTGGAAAATATAAGATAAAATATCATTAATTATACTTTTCTTTTCAGAATTTTTTGTATTCTTTTATGTTTATTATTGCTCATTTCACTGTTTTTAAGTTATTGAAAAGTTTTGAGTGATTTTTTTAAGAAAGAAAGTTCTTAACCTCCTTTATACCATTTGAGTTCTTATGAGTTTGCAAAGGGAAATTGGTTAATTTATTTATTAAGATAATTAATATTTGTATTAAGGGATATTGCTTATTTCATTGTAATTTTGTTATATGTAATAACTTTTTTATGAAGTTGTTCTGCAGAGTAAAATTCTACGCAGTTTTTAAATTTAACGTTTGGTGTTCCTTTCAGCCATTTTTCCGGTACATTTAAAAGCAAGATGAAGGCTGGCAGCGAAGCTGCTAGTAGATCATAAATAATGATTACTGAAGTAATCCCATTTATTCTGTTTGAAGTCTAGAGATCTGGCTACCTCATCCATTCTTTGAATATATATGGTGTCCACAAAGTTTTTACTCAGCCTTTATGTTCCATAACTGGTGGTCATAGACATATATTTCCAGTTACAAAAATGCTTTAAATGACACAAAGATTCATATTTTTAAATTAAAAAGAATTAATTTTATACAAAATACAAAATCTAATCTTTTGCATGTTCCTGCAATCCCTATGCTTACATTTAGGAACATTTTGTACTCAATATAAAAATAAACACAAAATGTTTGATTCCCCCTTTGATAAAAATTGAATTGCAAAATTTGTGATTTTTGACATCATTACCTTGAGGGTTCGGTTAATAAATAAATTACAATAATTTCTAGTTGATTTTTTTAAGGAACAAAAAAATTATATTCTTTTGTGATTTACTAGTGTCTTTATTTATAATTTTATTACACTTGGTATGCTGAAAGAATTTGCACACAAGTAATTTAATAAAAGTATCTCAAAATACATTATTAGTATTCTCTTGAAGTTTTATTATTTTAGAATTTTTTGTGCCTGCGCACCTGTAATGTAATCCGCGCATGCGCATCTGTAATGTTATGAGCAGACGACTTTGAGAATTGCCATCGACGGTAGGGCTGGTCAGAGCTATGAGTGAATAATGAGTGATTGTAATTAATTATGAGAATTAATAAAGAACCGAACCAGCGAATTTATTATAGTGTATGTTATTTGGGATGAGACCCAAACAAGAATCATAGTCTGGTAATTGTAAAAAAAATTCAGCAAAGTACAAATAAGTTTTCATTTTCAATGAACACAAATAATATTTCAATTAATGCAAATTATCAGTTAGCTGCATACCATTACTGAAGTATGTCAGTGCTTACTAGGAAACAAATTCTATAAGATTCTATGAATAAAATTTCTGTTTCGGAAAAAAATATTGATCAATATTTTTCACAATAATCTGCATAGAAGTGCTTGTCACATAATCTGCTAACTTCAGAAACCTTTTTCAAATGATATCTTATGTTTAATTGCATACAAATGCAAACATTTTGCTTTTCAATTTGTATACAGCCCCTGAATATGTCTTTATTTTAATATCAAATACCTTGGTCCAATTTTGTCATACGGGAATCAAACTGTGTTTATTTTTTTAATAATGAATACAAAATTTTTCTAAATGGGGCTAGAAGAGCATATAGAAAGTTAGTCATTTAAAATTTTTTTGTAACTGAAAATCTATGTTAGTAATCAATGTTTGAGAAAATAAAGGCAAGGTAAAAACTTTTGTGGACAGTGTGTACAGTTTGATGGAGATCATTCAAAATGCAGCTCTTAGCAGATAAGTATTATAATTCAGAATAAACTTAGGACCAAGGGTTCCAGGAAAAATCTTATCATAGGGATGCAAGATCGGTATCCTACAGTGTATTCAGATTACTTTTCTGGAACTAAAGTAAGAATGTGCAGCCTTATATTATTACCCTGGCCCATACCACTAAACTTTTAAAGAAATTTTGTTGTCTTTTCTTTGATTGCTGATACTATGTTCGTGGTTCTTTTTAGATAAACTAATATAGCTATCATTTTGCAAGCTGAATCTCAATTTATTGGTCAAGAGAACAGGAAGCCAATCTCCACTCCATGAACAATTTGGCTGCAAAAGTTCAACCTGCATGGTTAAAAGTGAGATTGCATACAGGCCAATCTAACAAATCTATGATATGAATAATTTATCTTGATATATTTTTATCACTGACTGTACACAGCATTGAAGACAGTTACCTTAGCATATATCCTATGCCTTCTCATTAATGAAACTAAAAAGTGAACACCCATTGCCATTGTATGTATCAGATCTCCTTAACACATTAGAAGTCTCACTAATTGGTGCTGTACTCATGATATAACTGTGGAAACTTGCAAGTGATGTTCTTTTGTAATTTACTAGTATGCAACATTCCCCAACAGATAATTTTGAAACACATGCTATAAGAATTTACACACAAGTAATTTATAAGATTCCATATGCTAAAAATATGTTATCAACATTCTTCTGCAATTTTATTACTTTAAAATTATAATCTGACTACCATATAAAAAATTCATTAAAAACACTTTTTTGCCAATACTGAAGCCTGCCACTGTTTTTAGAGCATAAATCTTGTGAATAATTTTTCCTTTTAAAAAATTTGTATTCAGTATTTTTCATGACAGTTTCTGCATAGAAATGTTTATCACTTTAATCTATTAACATCACAAACCTTTTTTGATATTTCATTTTTAGTTACATACAAATGCAAACATTTTGCTCTTCAAATTGTGTACAACTTTTGAATATACTCTCAGATTTTGGGATTTAACATTTTGGTTAACTTCTCTTCTGCAGGAGTTAAGCTTTCTGCGTTTTATTTCTCAGAAAAAAGCATAGGCATTTACAAGTATAATTACAGAAATACCGGAGTTTTATAAACAGTTAAATCTCATAATTTTTACAAAATTGATTCTTTAAATTAAAAAAGATGCAGCATGAACATTTTCCCCCTTATATACCAGTTTTGTATACATAAAACTGAACTTTTGTAGATATATTTACAATACAACTTGAATAATATACAAAATTTTGAAATTTTTTAGAGACAACTGGACTCAAACAAGAAGAGATACAGGGACAACTATGTGCAGAACAGGGATGCCAGAACTATACAGAGTGATAAAAAAATCATTTTTGTAAATTGAACATAAATCTGTAATTAAATATGCAAATAAAAATGTACTAATTCACAATTACGAACAGATGTATAAAAGTGTTTATGCACAATTTATTACATATTGTATTGTGTTTTAAATGGAATTTTCAATGCAAATGCTGTCATGAATCTATGGAACAAACTATTACATTCCTATCTACTTCTGGCATGATTGCTTATTATTAATACTATGCCTTTCCTCTACTTCTTCAAAAAAAATTTAACATTATTAGAAGTCTTTCTTGCAGGATTATTAGTTTCTTAATATTTGAAGTATTACAGGGTTATTATGTTTAGTTCCAGCAGTTTGGACTTTTAATTCTGTAATTTAATAAAATGTTTGTAACTGATTATGCAATTGTAATTAATAAAAAGAAAATCAATTAATCAGTGTCAGTTTGTTGCTGTACCTGTAGTTATTTCCAAGAAATCAGATATGAAACTAACATTCACCACAGTTAGAATATTTATAACGCAGATGACAGAATATGGTGATTCTTCATCATAGGCAAGTGATATTTTAAAATAAAATGTTAGTGTATTTATAAATTTTTTATATAGAAAAGAAAACTGTATGCACCAGAAATTAAGATACCTGTAACATTTTGAAAAATCAGGTTATTTGAATGTTATTGCTGTAATGCGCAAGTACCCTTAGCACAACTTGTAACATTCTAATTGACTCCAACCAATATAAAAGCTTATGGAACCTTTATGAAAATGCACACTCCTTAATGCCAGTCAGCACTTTTCATAAGGCTGTGATCATCTTTATTGAAATTTGCTGTTTTTGATAAAGATGTGCAATCCATATTACAAGTAAAGTTAACTTGGCTTAAAACTGTCACGGATTTATTTACTATGTGCTTAATTAATTAATAATAATTAAAATTAAAATCTGATTTGTATAGCAGTATCTGCATCCTTATGAAGGCTGCATTTTTCATGTCAGAAACTGTTTTTTTTATAAACATTTATGTTGAGACACCCTTATGAAGGTTTCTATCTTTTTGAACAGTAGCTGACCTGCACAAACGTGCATGTGCTCTTTATAACTTGTCACCATTACAAAATGGTCTTGTAAAGAAGTACCATTTGAGAGTGTTGGGAATGCAACTAACGTCATTTTATTTCCTACTGTCATTGTTGGACCATCTACAAATATATCTCAATTCAAGGGAGCTCTTTTGGACCATAATTTACAAGTAAAGAGAAGGCAAGAGAAGCTTTTAGCACTTATGACTTTTCCTTAAATGTTCAGTACTATGAAGAAAGGATGTACTAAAATTATTAAACTTGCAGAAAAGAAGGAAAGAAAAAAAAATTGAAAAATGATGAAGAAAGATGGATACAGGCAAGAAGAAAGAAAAAGTCAAAAAAGATTTATCAGAATAAAATTTTTGAGTATAATCAGTATTTATTAAGGCATCATTTAAGTGAAGGGCAAAAATGGCAATTAATTGGTAGATACAGGGAAGAAGTCAAATACAAATGGAAGTAGTCCAAGAGTTAAATATCTCTCAATGCACCATACTAAAAACTTAAAACTGCTTTTTCAAAACTGAATTAGCTAGAAGGCAACTTAGTCAGAATTGTTCAAGAGCAGCAACTGCATCTAAAGACTTTTCTCTTATTGCTGGTTTGAAGAAATCGTGATGAAGTTACAAGAAAGTTATTTTTAGACCTTCAGACTATCACAAAATAACAAATTAGCCATTCTATTACTGCATAAGGCTGGGCTTAAAGTGAAAAAAACTACTTTTTTGGGAGTACAACCCCATTCACTTCTTTTAAGTAACATTTAGGTTTCATTTCTGTTAATATCTTTTAATTCTGATGAGCAGTGTATCTGATCTGCATCAGGCTATTTGACTTCAGAAATGTTAGAAATTTAATAGGCACACAACTGGAACATAAATAATTTAATTTCAATTTTTTTATGTAACTTTGAGCATTTTATTTGCAATTTTATGTGGCATTTATAAAACATAAGGAATTATACAATGATAAAAATATATTTATACTAGAATTCTTTAAGTTTTGATGGTAATAAATAAATGCCCTTTAAAGAGCTATCGTATGCTGTGCATAATTCACAGCATGCAGATAGTTCTGACTCATATATCACAACACTCAGCCAATACCTCAATCAAAATCTGACTTGCATTTTTCTGAATTACACCAAAATTTACTCTTATTACACACATTAAATAAGGACACAAAGATCAATAAGGCTTTAAATGTGTTCAGAACACAAAGATCAATAAGGCTTTAAATGTGTTTAAATTTACAACTTGTGTTACCAAATTATTAGCACAGATTTTCAACTTGGAAGTTTTTATACTGTGTCTACCAGTAATTCATTTTAGATCTTCTGAAAATGTAGAAGAGAGTTTCTCAGATTGTATTGGACATTGTGAATGTATTTAAAGATATGGATGGTCCCGTAATGCAAAGTTTAGTATTATGCCATTTTTGTAAATATTTTATGTTTTATTAAGCACTATTAGAGTATTTATATTTCTTTATTCTAGAAAAGAATATCATTAGGATATATGCTTTGCAATGCAGCTCAGAGAGATTTCCTGTGGCATAAAAGGAAGTGCAAAATCTGAAAATTTAAGAACTGTCTTAATGATTAAACAAAATATGTTGTATTACATGTTGGAACCACAGCACTTTATTGAGAAAACATACTATTTTATTAACACATTTTCTTTTTTTTACTAATATAAGTACACCTTTTTTTAATAATATGTTAATAAGATGAGAAAAATCTTATTTCTGTAAGTGTTTATTTATTTATTTTTAATTTCCAAATAGTTATACTGCTGATGTTATATTGCCACATTTCACACATAAATACAGTTAAGCAGCTGTTATCTGTTAATAAACTAAAGATTTTGTCTATTGAATTTCAATCATTTTAATCTCACATGTCTTCTTTTTGGAATATATGTGCATGACAAAAGTTTATAACTGTGAGTGTGATGTGCATTATGTCATTTCACATTTAAGGCTACACTGACCAGTAAAAATTCATGAGATACACACACATAAAAGTAAATAATCTTTTGATTCATATTTATACTAACATATTTTATAATCTGTTTAGTCTACCTGTTTTATCCTCTAAAATATTTTGGCATTATGTAAATACATAGAATACAATATTCAATAAATTATAACAAATTCAGATTTTTCTCAAAATAAATGGAAAAAAAAATGTTAAAGTACCTGAAGAAAAAGGCCTCATTAAAAAGTGGGATGTAGTGTGATCACAAGTGATATCTTAACACTGGTAAAAACTAATCTAATTAAGTTAGTCTTTCTTCTGGTTCTCAGCTACGGACTCTCAGCTTTAAATAAACTTAAATAAATATTAAGTATGCTTTATTAGAGTTATATTTTAAATAATCTTTTATATAGTTTTACAAATATCATCTTTTACCATTATTATTAAAAAAATTCTGTAATATTGTTGAATACTAACAAATATAAAGAATGTGATGGGCAATATAGTCAATATATCCAATTATTCACCTAATTATAATTCAAATGGAAGATGGTTTTCCATGAAGTCTATTATACACAACTGGATATCAGTTTAGTACACACAATATACAGTATTCTTGTTTCTGAATATACAATAATCTACTGAACTACTGCCCATCTGCATTACCAGCGAAGTTTACAAATGTATAATACTAGGTCAAACATGTTGTTAATTTTTAATTTGTCTATACAATTTATCCTACTGCTCTCAAAAATATAAAAGACTTGAAAAATACAATAAGCAATTATTTAGAAATTTAATTTATATACATTACATTACAATTCCTTTATGTACACTAAATTACAAACTTCTAACAATAAGACTACAGTGATCACCAGTCTGCACTATTATTGGCTAAATAATCTCTACGTCCAATATTAGAAGCCTGTTTATTCTGCATTGCTTCAAGTTTTGGGCAATCTGTAATTCTGTGTCCAAGACCACCACAGTATGAACAGCCTCTTTCATCTAAAAATTGAATAAAATTATATGATTATAACAGTATATATATATACATAAAATTCAAACTTATAAACTTTTAACTAATGCTAAGTATAACTAGTATGTTCTGGGGTAAGCAAAATTCATTTGAATTCTAATAAAATTATTGGCAGTTTGGACGAATGGCATAAGTATTAAAAAGCACGTTCTACCAATTGATAAAACGCATGCAATTAATTTTTAATGCACATTCTTAGCTTTTAGAAATAAATGAGCTGTACATTTACTTGTAATAATTAACAATGCATTTTTGTATTGAAAAATAGCTATAAACATCACTTCAGCTGCCACTGCCTTGGGCCTAAATTCGAATCTTGGAGAAGACATAGAAGATAGTGTAGGTTCTTTGCAGCATGGGGCACTTAAAATACAGGCTAACCTTTATTAAACAATTAACCTCAGTATAAAAAAATATTATGAATATTTATTTTTTTTTAAATTCCTCATTAGCTAAATAAACAAATATTACAAAACATATTTAAAAGTTAGTCAAATTAAATTACCCATAAAAAATAAATTAAGTAAAATAAAAGTTGCTAACAACATAATAGCAAAAATCCAAAAATAATGGATGAGTATAGGATTGATTCAGCCAAGCTCTTTCTCAATGGGACAGACTTAACATTTTTCTGGCACTGTTACCAGATTTATTAATGATTTCCAAATTAATATTATAAGTATAATATATTAATAATTAATATTATATTAATATTATAAGTAACTGATAATTGAAACTCATCTTGAACCTCATGCTAAATCCAAAATGGCATTTTTCTTTACAAAAAAAAGGGGGGAATAAAACAAAGAAAAAAAAATTATAGCTCATCTTAGTAATTGGAGGCTTTCCCATTTTCACTGACTTAGTAAATTATATGTATAACTGTATATAACGATACAAATATATGTAACAATATATATATATACACACTGCTCGACATTGAAAATGCAACACCAAGAAGGAATGGTCAGAAAGTGATGAAATTTGGAAAAAAGACAGAGACAGCAAGCAGCAATAAGTGATCTTTATTTCAAAATGATAGTAAGAATACACAGCGAGAACGGCGTCGACTCAGTAGGAGTAGGACCACCGCGGACAGCGATGCACGAAGAAACACATCTACGCATAGAGTCAATAAGAGTGCAAATGGTGTCCTGAGGGATGGCTCTCCATTCCCTTACAACCATTTGCCAGAGTTCATCTTCTGAATGAGGCAGAGTCTGCAAATGGCGTCCAATCGCATCCCACACATGTTCAATTGGTGATAGGTCAGAGTACGGTGGACAGGGAAGCATCTGTATACCTTGCAGAGCATGTTGGCAGATGCGAGTTCTGTGTGGTTGGGCATTACCCTGCTGAAAAATTACATTAGGCAGCCCCTGAAGGTAGGGATTGCCACTGACCGCAGTACATTATCCAAGTATTGGTGGGCCATCATAGTGCCCTGAATACGAACTAGAGGTGACTTGGAATCGTAGGTAATAGCACTCCAAACCATTATGCCACGTTGTTGCATGGTGGGGCGTTCCACAGTTACTGCCAGATTAGACCTGTCTCCATGTCGACACTACACACGTATGCGGCGACTGTCACTGGATAAACAGAAGTGTGACTCATCTGGGAACACGACATTTCACCATTCTGTCATCCACATTGCTTCAGTCCGGCACCATTCTAAACGATGGCATCTATGCTGTGGGGTCAATGGCAGTCTTCTTAACGGACGCCGTGAGTGCAGGCCACATTCAACCAATCAACGGGAAATGGTTCTGGTTGACACGAGAACATCCAGGGTATCTTGCACATGCTGCAGAATTGCAATACAAGTGACTTGTGGGACCGCCACAGCTTGTCAGCCGATGCGTCGATCCATGTGTACTGACGTCACTCTGGCTGCACCTGCACCCCTCCTTCTCCCCACATTTCCTTGTTCCAACCATGCTCGCATTCATGTGGATATCAGTTGCGATTTGACGTAAGGACCAACCAGCCCTTCTCAGTCCGATTACCATACCCCTCATAAAATAGTCTGTCTGCTGGAAGTGCCTTCATTAACGGCGGCCTGGCATTCTCTCCTATTACACGTATCCTCCGGAACAAAAACCAGTTTTCTTCGATAATTCTTCTGGCAGAAATAATGACACGAATATTGCCCATTATGCACGTTCCTTGCCTTATATCTTACTTCACATGCGTCAGAGAGCTGCACATTTCACATCATTCGTATAACTCAGTGACGTGCGTGTACTCTAAAATTTGCATAAATTTCTGACCACTCCTTCTTGGTGTTGCATTTTCAATGTCGAGCAGTGTATATATATATACTATCAGGTCAGTCCATAAGTTCATGCACATTAAGAGTATGCTTGGGATTCACTATGATGCATTTTCTAAAACAATACAATTTTGAACCTGTTGAAACTCATTGTTTGACTAACAATGAGTTGTTTCATTCATTGTTTGACTAACATATTATTCAGTTCATAAACAACTTTCGTAAATATCGAACGCATGTTAGTACCCATAGAAGATGAATATAGATAATCGGTACAAACGTTCTGTGCTACATTTTTTATTTTTGTGTGGTGAATCTGCCAGGTTTGCAGCGATAAAAATTAATATTGTACGTGGTGAAAAACTATTAGTGTAAGGACTCCCCAGAAATGGTTTAAAAAATTAAAAGTTAGAAAAGCCAGCATTGATGACAAACCCTGTTGAAGATGTTTTGAACTGTTAGAACCAAATCAAACAATTAATTCAGAAGTTTGCAGTGAACAACTTTGTCGTCTAAACTCAGAATTGATAAAAAAAAAAAGGCCCATGATTGGTGAATATCAAGAAAGTGTTGTTTCATCATGGTAACACTCGAGTAACGCTAGACCACATATGGCTCGAAGAAAGCTGCAAAAAATTAGTGAATTTAATTGGGAGCTTTTGCCACATCCTGCTTACTCCCCAGATATTACCCCAAGTGATTTTCACTTATTTCGTGCCTTACAAAATGTTTTACAGGGGAAAAAAAATAAATTCTAAACAGGATGTACACAATGAACTTTCAAGTTTTTTTTTGCATCAAAATCAGAGTCTTTCTACAGCAATGGCATAAAAAAGCTGCCATTAAGATGGTGAGACATTGTAGATAATGGAGGAAAATATATAACTGATTAAAATGTTAAATTGTGTTTTTTTATATTATTTAAAAATTTACCAAAAATGCGCACAAATTTATGGACTGATGCAATATATATATAAAACCACAAGTTTCTAAATCAAACAATTAAAACATCACAGGAAACAAAAATTAAGATAATGAAAATTAACAAAATATTAATTCATTTTTTTAAAATAAAGGAAGATAGGTGAGGAAAAAATTAATTACCTCCAAGCTGAAGATATTTCTCATTTTCAGACTGTAGAGCTGCTAAGAATGGTGGCACTTTCTGCTTTGCTTCCATTAACAAGTGTTTCAAATCCAGTAGCACTGATTCATCTTAAAATAAATTTTATTTTCATGAATAATATATATACTGGTAACAGCAAGAAAATAAAAAAGAAATACAATATAAGGATTTTAAGAATGGACGATCATATATATGGTGCTCTTATAATATTTGAAATAAATTTCTCAGCAAAAACAAAATCAAATATTTACCGTAATTTCCGGAAGAAACGGCGTGGCGTTTGCGTGCTTAAAACTTAAATTTTCAGCTTCCACCCATGTGGTGCTTAGGTGCACTAAAAAAAATATTTCCTATGATGTCATTGTGCATAGTTTAGGTTTAAAAATTTTAGTGCATAGAAGTGAATGACCTTATTGTACATAGTTTGGATGACCTTGTCATTGTACATATATTGGTGCTGTTCCCACACAAATGACCACTCAGTTGCTTTCTGCGAACTTTATTTTGTTTACATTCTTTCCCTTGAATATACCTATGTGCTTTATTCATCCTAAATGGGATCTCGGAACAATAACATTCTTCCCTCTTTCAAATCAGCGTTCTCATCAGTTTGAATAGTCTCTCTTCTCTGCCATTCGATGAACCTTCCAGGACTCATCCTCTCCCCACCCCTGCCTTTTCCATTGTAATTCTACTGCAACTTTTTTCAAAGGTGGGACACCACCTGCATTACAATAATGAATTCTGGCATATTTCCCCTTCAGCACAAAATGATTTTTCTTGGCATTCTGCCAGATACATATCCCATCAGTTTGGGTGCAAGTACTTGTTGGATAGTTTTTAAGCGGAAAATTTTTGAAAATGGCACCTAAACGGCACAGAAGCTATACTGCTGGTTTTAAGCTTAATGTAATTTTGCATGCTGAACAAATTAGAGCAGCAGCTCGAGAGTTTGAAGTGGACGAAAGATGCATCCAACGTTGGAGAACTGAAAAAAAAGAACTTAAAAATATGCCACAGAAAAGAGCCAAAAGAAGTGGTACTGTAAGATGGCCAAATGTAGAGTATGACCTTGCAAACTGGATAAAGGAGCAACGAGGAAAGGAATGACAATTTCGACTGTAAAAATTCATTTACAAGCAAAATTTCAGGCAAAACAAATGAACATAAATGATTTCAAAGGAGGGCCTTGATGGTGTAGCAGATTTATGAAAAGAAAAAATATTTCTGTGCATACTAGAACAACAGTCTGGCAACAATTACCAATAGAGTGGCAGGATAAAAAAGGCATCTTTTCTAAAATAGGTGACAAAAAAAAAAAATAATAATAATAATAATAATAATAATAATAATAATAATAATAATAATAATAATAATAAAATATGGATGAAACACCGTTAGCTTTCGACTCTCCTATAAACAGAACTGTTGATGAAACTGGTGCAAAAGCCGTATCTGTGCTTACAACAGGGCATGAAAAAGAACGTCATGTGTTACATGTGTGTTAGCTTGTGCCGCTAACGGTGACAAGCTAAAGCCGATGATCATTTTTAAAAGAAAAACTATTCCGAAGGGAGATTTTCCTAATGATGTAATTATTTGTACAAACGAGAATAAATGGATGTGCAAAACAATCATGCATGAGTGGCTACAAAAAGTTTGGCGCAGTGTCGTAAGGGATCTTTTTTCCAATGGGAAAAAGGTTATTGATAATGGATTCCATGCATGCTCATTTATTTGAGTCAATGAAAACCAGATATCAAAAACTCTCTAGCAGTAATTCCTGGTGGTTTGACAAAAATCCTACAACCATTAGATTTGTCAGGAAATAAATCCTTCAAAGCTGAAGTTTGAAAGTGGTGGGAGTGTTGGATGAATGAAGGATTGCATACGTATAACAAAAGCGGCAAAATGCGTACAGCATCTTATGAAGAAGTTGCAAAGTAGTGCGTGGAAATCAGTGAAAACATTGTCAATAATAGCAGCATTCAAAGAAGCTGAAATTATATCCTCAGATAAAGAGACTTTCCGGAAATTACAATAAATAAAACTAGATGATGCATTAATGTAGAAAATGAAACATAATTTACATGAAAATTTAACATTATAATATATGTGACAAAATTAAAAGCAATAACCAAACAAACAGAGCAATAATATATGCAAAGTTAATATTATATATATGCAAAGTTATTAATTAAATAATATATGCAAAGTTATTAAGTTCTTCATTTAATATTCATTTTTAAATTTTACCCCTTTAGATTATAAATAATTAATTACTGCAAGGGAAAGACTATGCAATGAAAGATAAATTTAACATTCACAGAAGTAAATGCGAGAAAATGAAATATTGAGTTTTGTATCTCTAAGGTGATCTGGATGTTAAAGCAACAATTAAAATTTTTTAAGGGAAGAGTTTTATACAATGCAAAGTCCAAGATCCGGACTTGTTAGGGCTTTGACGATTCCAGATATTAGATCAACAGGTTAAATCTAGTAAAATGACATGTAGGAATTATAAAATTAAAAACATGAAACAGGGATTTATAAAATACTGAAGCATTATGTATGACCTTAAAAAAATCAGAATTAAAAAAAATTCTTTCAACGTAAATTGTTTAATTTGCTTCATTTTTTGTACTACTACTTTCTCTTTAATTTTATAGAGATAATTTACTGTTCAAATATTTATTGCTAAAGTCCTGTAATTGTCATGTCAAGCATTCCCACTAAAAACAAAATTTATTTTGTTCTCAGCAAACTCTCTGTTAGTTTCTTCACTATTACTAGTGATATTTTCTGGATTTAAAACCATGTTACAGGTCTTGCTGTTCATTATAGATGGTTGGAGCATTGTCATCACAATGATGTACTTCTGTTATATCATCTTCATTTATTATAAGTTCTCCACATTTTTTTTACAAATTTCATTAGTTGGGAAATTTCACTTTTAGTATGTGATATCTGAAAACTTTCAAAATTGTAGCTACCATCACAAAGCTTAGTTAGTGATCGTTATACACTGTTGGCGATTTATGAGACTGGAGAATAAAAACATTTTCTGCTAAATTTTGTCTTGCTCCTATCACATGCTGAAGTTAAGGAATTACATTAGTTCAGTTTTTGTTATGCTTATGACTATTTCTTGCACATGCTTAAGTTTTATGAGTCCCAAATAAATAAATTTCCACATATATTTAAGGCTTATCCAAGGCCGGCACTAGACATTCAGTGCAGTCTTGGCAGGTTTGTAATTCTGCTGTGAAGCACCTCCTTAAATTCTAAAAATTTGCATCCCAGTGCCTTACCTAAATTCTAAAGATTTTGCTATCTCTTAATTTTGTTATATGGTGTTTTCTAAAAATTTTGCCTCCCTTAAATTCTGCCACACCAACCCCGGCACCGGTCCTGAGCTTAACTGAATAACATATATATTATTCTGAGTTTAAATAGCACTGTACCGAGTTCAAATAGCAGTGTAATCTTGTCCTATTAGTACTATTTACAAAATATATCTTTTGCATGTCTAAAGAAATTTATGTTATATTTCTCAGCTAAATTAAGGTGTGCCATATCTTGTAGTGCATATAGGTGGCAATGTTACTTACATCTGCTAATATTATAATATGTATTATGGAATTTTTTATTTTTATTTTTATTTATTTATTTATTTATTTATTTTTATTTTTGTAGTTTGAGTATTATAACATTATTGCAAATGTTGTAATAATAATTTAATTTTAGACATTAGTTAATACTACGATAGCAACTTAAAAAGTTTTACATTTAAATTTGCATACAAATAAGAAAAAATACTTACCACATGCTTTATTAATAAAAGTGGTTGCAATTCCTTTCTTTCCTGATCGGCCTGTTCGTCCAATACGATGAACTAAAAATATTTTTTATGATTTATTTTATGATGAATGAATATAATTAACAATATAATGCTAGAAATTCAACCATACACCAGTTTTGTGTCTTAAACAAGATTTAACTTCTATACCTGATTAGTGTGATTTAATCAATAACCCACTGTAAAATATTTAGACTATTTATCTTCATTTAAATATATATATATAGTCAGTTTTTTTATGGAGAGGCAAGATGAATGTGATTACTATTTTTACAATAATTCACTTGAATCTGTATATTACACACACTTTTATAAAACAATGCTTCTCAAATACAAATAACAGCAATTTCTTATTAAATAATATGTGCTACTATTTAAGTAGTACATATTATTTAATATGTACTACTTAAATATTAATTAGTATTAAATGTTATTAGTCTAAATAGTCAATACATACAATGAATCTTATCATTAATAAATGTATGCATATACACAGTGTCCGCAAAAGTCTTTACCTGTTTACCTGGCTTTTATTTTCACAACTGTTGGTCACAGAGATATACTTCCAGTTACCTGTGCTTTTGCACTTTTAAATTTAAAACAAACAACAAACAAAAAAAAACAAAAAAAAAAAAAAAAAACTTGACATTGCTATACAGTCCCTATATTTATATTTATGAAAATTTTAAATTTTACAATCTTTATAAGAAATAAAAAAACAAAATATTTAGCTTCTATTCAACAAAAATTGATCAAGGTATTTTACTGTCACGTTTTGGATATTTGATGTCATTTTCAACTTGCTTGAGAAATTTGTTAAAATAAATTAGAATATTTTGAAAATTATATTTTGCTTTTAAATGCAATTCAATAATGATCTTTTTCAATACTACAGTATAATATTCTTTAATCTATAATTTTTTACAACTGGTATATTGAAAGAATTTTCACACAAGAAATTTGTGTTTTTAAAAACTTAAAATACATTATTAATATTTTCATGAAGTTTTACTATTTTTGGATTATCATCTAATAAACAAATGAAAATTTCACTAACCAAGAAATAGTTTTCATTTTTAATTTATGCAAATAATGCTATGTTCCAACACTAAAAGCCTGCCAGTGTTTTCTACCAGATTATGTGACTAAAGTCTCCTTTCTTTAACAAATTATATCGATTGGTACATTGTAGTTATATACACATGCAAACAATTGCTCTTGAAATTTAAGATAAAAATATCTTGGTCAATTTTTAACATATAGAAGTCATATTTTTTGTATTTTATTTTTTATAATAAATATAAAATTTTTATAAATATAAGTACAGAGACTCAGAAAGCTTTCAAAAATTTTGTAAATTTTACAAAATTAATTTTTACTTCCTTGTACGAAGTAAAAAGGAAGTACTGTAACCACGAAAAATTTTGGGTATCATATTACAACGAAAATATTCATTTTGACTGCTATCGAATGCAATTTAACGATGTTTTTGCATGACATCTTCATGAAAGGACAAAACAAAGGATCCTTTCTCTCCCCCCCAAAAATTATAAAACTGATTTAAAACACATTCTGCAGAGATTTTTTCGTGGCATCTGTACATACATACGTATGTATCTTGCATAACTCAAAACCGAGTAGCCTCAGAATGTTGAAATTTTGTATATACTACTGCTTTAACATGCAATGTACACCTCCCATTTCGGTTGCAATCGGCCGCGCCAAAAGTATGTATGTATATACCTATATTATTATATATATATCTACTCTGTTACTCGGCTCAGTTTCTTTATTCTTGTATGTTTGTAAATTGTGCATTTTTTACTTTAAGAATGATTCAATTGTGTTGTTCCGATCTTTCGGTTAAGGTTGTTATGGCTTTAGTTAACCTGCATGCAATAATTGTAGAATTATCAACAATTTAAAAGTTTTTTTTTTAAGTGCGGCTAAGCCTAGTTTTTGGTTACCACTGCAGCCATAACATTTGAAACTTAAGCATAATAGTGGATTTGTTGCCAATCTAGAGAAACTAAACTTCACAACAACAAAGTAACGTCTTTTATTATTGCGAATTAAATTATGCTTACTTCATTCTGGAATTATTAGCTTGTTTTTGCGTAGAAGCTGTAATTTTAATTGCAAATTTTTTAAAAATTGTTTTAACTGTACTTGGTGTTTTATGTTTTCCTACATCTTTCAATTTTTAATGAAAATATTTTGAATTATTATGTATTTTTGCTTTGCCGTGAAGTGAGAACTGAATTAATTAGTAGTGCATGCGCATTATGTAAGTGATGCTGAATCATCTGTGAAAAACTGTTTCTTTTTTATTTGTTTAATTTCTTTTATACATCATTTTAGATTTATTACGGTATTTGAATAGAACATGAGGTAATTCTTTAGATGATGCAATTTTTGTGCACTCTGAGTTATAAAATGAATGAGATGTAATGCTGTTAAATGAACCTAGAGCTGAAGTGTCGCTATGGTAAATAAATATAGTGAACTTTAAGGAGTGCATTTACTCTATTGTGGTTTATGCGCTATCAACAAAGTAGATTTAATTCAAAATTCGTTAATTCAATATGTTTAAATGAAATGCAGAAAAATTATGCATTATTTAATATACCGTACAAGGAAGTCATGCGGTGTATATATCAGATTTTTTAAATTTAAAAATGCCAAAACATGAATATTTGAATCATTCGAAACATTTCTGTAAGTGACCAAATTTCTATGACCAAGGGTTTCAAAAATAAAGGCCAAGTAACAATTTTGGTAGACATTGTGTATATGTAATGATTTAGAAGCTGATAACAGAATGATGGAGTTTGGTGCAGCAATCATTATCAGTTTAATATTTCTTCATCACTGTTAACAAACACAGAAAGATTATTGCAATCTGTGTGCTAATTCTTGATCATATTTATACCTTTTTCACATTTTATATCAATTATTTTCAATAGGGAAAAGAGCAGCGGACGGCAAAGTGAGAGAGACAGAGAATGCAATGTGTCATGGATGAAAACATGGTTCTGAATGACTCAGCAATAGTTTGGTTTTGTTTTAATTAATTTTTAGTTTCCCAAATTTGAAACTTAAAATTAACCAACGAAAATAAAATTTTACCAAAACTAAACCATTCTGAACCAAGTTTTCATCTTGAACATGTAGCATTCTCAATTTCATTCTTCTGCATATAAACAGCCATTAACTTAAATCTTTTTTTACTAACACTAAACCAATTTATTAAGAATTAATCATATTTACATAAAAACAAGGCGAAGATTTTATGACTCAACTGTGTTGTCAACTTATTCATCATTGGAATGAATCATACAGTACAAGTCTTTTGTTTGTCAAAAATGGTCAATTTTAACAAAAATCAGCATTATATTTACAAATTTTCCAGGACTAGTTTTGAGAGTTTTACCGAATCATCATTCTCAGCTGCCATTTGCACTTTGGCAGCTGAAGATTATGATTTGGAAAAACCATCAAAATGAGTCCTGGAAAATTCGCAAATATAATGCCGATTTTTATTGTTTAACTTTTAAATTAATCAGCCTTTGTTTTTTAGGTATTCATTTATTTCCAACATTTTGTTACCATGTACATACTTGCCAACCTATGACACTCAAAAATCAGGAGATTTTTCACAATGTTAAAAAGACTTTTTAAATGATAAAAATATAGTTTCTAATAATGAATTAACTTTTAATAGTTACTAATTCTTAAATGCAAGCAACACAAAAATACCTTACACATAAACATTAAAAAAAAAAAAAAAAACACCCACACTTTAATCAGTTTTTGTACAAATGTTATGACCAGTGGCAGATTTTGCTTTCGTTAAGAAAGAAACTTCATAATTTTGTTCATAGCAATTGCCAAGCAGGCCTGCTTTCACTAATAAAAGTTTTTCTAATGTTTCATCACTAATATTAGATCTAAATTTAGTTTCGCTTTTGCAACAACACTGAAAATCCTCTCACACTCTGCATTACTATGGGGAACTGTGAAGATGGCCAACATAATTCTAGACAGTTCACTATATTTTAAAATTTCATCAGCACCTTTCAGTTTTCCAATTAAACTCCACTGTGTGTCAATCCTAGCTGATTTTATAACCTCATCCAAGTTTTCTAATTGTAAACTGCAAAATTGCAACTGCAATATTATCAGTGGCAACATCAATATCATCATCTTTCATGACTAAATGAAGTAACACAGAAAATCTGTTCAAAAAGTACCTTATATCAGAAATAAATATCAACAACATGCTCATCCATAGATATTGGTAAAAAAGCTGCCCCTCTTTCAGCTGCTAAATTTAAGATGTGACAGGTGCACCTCATAACCTGCAACGCTGAATTTTCCTTTCTTAAGATGCCTGCAACACCAGTCTTCAAGCCTACCATTACTGGTGCATTATCGGCACCAAGTGCCAATTATTCAGACGGACTGCACTTTCTTTTCAAGTTTGAATAATTAGCTGTGCTATATTAAAGCCTGTCGAATGTCCTTCTAAAATGGGGACAGAAAGTGAACTGCACTCAATTTCTGAAGACTCTGGATTAAAAAAGAAACAAAAATTGAATACAGCTCTGAATCGGTATTATTGCTTCCATCCATAGAGAAGCAGAACGGAGCTGTTTTATTGCAACCAATAACTGAAGATTTTTATTTTTCAAACCCATTTTTTTATCAATTGCACCTGTTTTGGTCCTTGCACTTGAGTATTTCTTAGTGATTTCACTATCGGGAAACAATTTTCTAAATAAAGCTGCAGCGTGATCCGATGCATTCAGTGGCAGTTTGTGCTCCAGTAAAAAGGCAGAGAACAGACATTCTGCATTAATAACTTTTTGGTCCTTTGTTTCCGAAGAAAAATTTAATTTTTCGTTTTTTTTTTCAAAATAACTGATGTTGTCCTTGTGTTTTTGTGTACGCACATGTTTGAGAACATCCGCCCTTCCACCATGCGAATCGAAAAATTGCAATGACAGACGTTACGCAATGCAAATTTATTATATTCCTAGAGGAAATAATGGAAAGAAAGTCAACTGTGTACGATTTTTGAAACGTACACGAGTATTTCACCTTTCCCGCAGACATAACAAAAGATGATAATTTCTAAAACTATTTTCCGAAGGCACGTGTACTCACACAACTCAGGACAAGATGAATGAAATAACTAAAGAACATGCAAATAACAGCCTTGAGCTTGCTTTGTGCTCATTGGCTAATATATGCCACATGACAATGCAGTGGAGTTCGATGCCCATTGGAGAACGCCGTTTCTGGATACGTATGCTCTCACTCGCAAAGCAGAAATTCTCATCTGATTCACAAGGTTTTGTTTTAGATATAATCTAGAGGAAATTCAATTGCTTTCAGATGTAATGACTTTTTTTTTTTGTTCATATAATGAAGTATTAAGCCAAGTTTTATAAAAATCGTGAGAAATGTTAAGAATAAAAAAAAGTCGGGAGAAATATATTGTAAATCGGGTTGGCAGAAGAGCGGTCGAAAATCAGGAGTCTCCCACCTAAATCGGGAGAGTTGGCAACTCTGCATGTATTATCTCAGTTTTATTAGCATCGTAATGCAGTTTTCATATCTTCATAAGTTTGCACTGATATTGTATGCATTGATATCTTTTCCCCTGTTTACATATTATGATGCTATACATCACCTTTTAAAAAAAAAAAAAAAAAAAAAAAAAAAAAAAAAAAAAAAAAAAAAAAAAGAACTTTTGCATATACAAAGATGATTTTAGACTCTGATATATTTACAGCTATCCAAATCACAAACTGCAAACTAGTTTGTGATCTCTATTTTACCTACAAAAAATTTTGTAATCTCTATATCAGTATAGCATTTAATTTAATCTAAAGAATCAAAAGTTCACATTTTTGAGTAAAATTTTTATCAGTATGTGTTTTTATTGTATTCAATGTTAACAATATCAAACTAACTTTTTGAAAAATTTTGCATTTAATTCTATGGCTGAGTTTTGTAATTAAAATTACATTTAATGGTGATTCAAAAATCAATCAATTTTAAGAGGCTTTTAATGCATTTAAACTATAATAACTAACAAAAATGCTAAATATATCTATTCATTAGCTATAACAACTAAGACTGAAAGATAAATTTCTCACAGCTTACATTTCATCTGAATTGCACATATGATGTTAATATAGTTTTCAATGAAAAATTCTTTAATCATTTTATTCTCACATTAGAAAGTCATTGCATTATTTGTAGCACAAAGAAATTAAATTTGAAGCCTAAAGATATAAAAGATATATTTTTTCCTTACCATAGTTCTCTATGTCTTCAGGCATGTCATAATTAATGACGTGCTGAATATCTTCAAAATCTAAACCTTTTGACGCAACATCAGTCGCAACTAATACATCTTTCTCTCCCTTCCTAAAAGCTTCAATTGTTCTTGAACGTTCTTCTTGATCTGAAATGAAAGGGGATGGAGATCTGAAGTTATGATATAAAAGAAAAAGGCAGTTTTTCTACCTACAATTCTTTAAGATCAGTTATACAAACTAGTGATAATTCGTGCACATTTATTTAGGGTGTTCTCAAGTAGACTATGCAATCTCATTGTTGCTAACCTTGAAATCACACACACACACACACACACACACACAAAAAAAAAAAAAAAAAAAAAAAAAGAGGGAGACTTTTGAGAGAAACTTGGAGAAAGCAGGAAGTTTGCATGTTATATGGCAATGTCATTTCAAAGAAGCTCCAAACTGGCTTAAATTCACTTTATAAAGCAAGATTCAGGCTACTGAACAGTTTTTAATACAGTTCTGATGTAAAATATAGTAGTATGAATATTAATTTATAACCATATTTAATTAATAATTCTAAATTTTATGCCCTTTGGCTAACTTTATTCTGTAACTTTCTTACACATTTATACTGAGAAAATCAGACATAGGGAAATAAAGCTTTTATTTATCAAAGTACTTTTAAATATGACAAAGAGTTAACCCGCGAAGACGGCCGCTACTTTAAGCTATGCGAGGACGCACGCCGGGCTCCGTAAGACCGAAGCATTATTTCTTAACAAAACAAAAATTAAATTGCTTGTGTAATTGAAGAAAAACATTTAAATAATAAAACCAGAGTGTATAAAATGTAAAAATATACTTTTAATTTAATAAGTCTAATAAAATTGTATTTTAAGACTGAAATTATTTATCATTAACAACAAAAATTAAACTGATTTCGAGTGCAACTGAAATTTAGTACTAATTTATGCAATATTAAATTTTTACAGCAGTAATTTCAAAATAAAACTTACATTTCACATTTTTTTGCAAATATTCATGATGTGTTTACCACAAACATTTTTCTCGCACTCAGCGCAGCAAATTTGTGATTTTCGGTCCGTTACGCCAAGACTGTAAACTTATTTGCAACTTTCAAAGAACTTTTCAAAGGCATATATTATCAGACCCATTTTATTTATTTCCCTTCTAGAAAGGCAATCTCTTATGTCATCAAACAAACATCTCATTAGAAATAACAAACGTTTGTTAGACATTCTTCGATGAAAAATGTCAAGCAGTGTTCCGTCAGTCACCCAAAAGTAGAGAACATTTACGTGAGAAGCCTTGTGGAGTCCTCCAAAATAAAGAAGACAAATAAATGCTCTGATTTCTGTAATATTTGTGGATCGAGCATCTCTCTATCTTCCAAATTTGACAGCAATGGATTCGATATAAATGTTCGCACAATCTACTAGAACGTTTACTATTATTTTATCCATAAGCAGTTGCCAAGAATTCATAGGGTTTATTGGGTGGGAGATGTGATGAAAATCCGGGAGATTTTGCAGCTATGCAATTTGTACTAAAATATTAACATTAGTTTTGTGAAATGATTGCATTTTAAGAAACTAAGTGAATATAAAGTGAAATGAGCAACAACAGCTTTTCCCTTATGTCAGAAACTCTCTGAGCAAAGTCTTAAAAAAACTTCTTTTGGAATGTTGTATTGCATTATGTTATACTATTCTACAATTATCTTCCATGGCCCTTAGCAAGCATATCCACAGCACAAAACACTCCACTTCCTTACAGTGGTGACTATAAGATCATTAAGTCAATGGTCTTGATGATGCCCTTTGGTTTAACCTTCTTCCTCACATACCTTCATATTCGCACTGACTTTCTTGGCCTTCTGGTAGCAAAATTATTTTTATTTCACAGTTATTTACCTAAATGAAAGAGGTTACACCAGTCACTTAAATTACAACTTTCACAATTAAAAATGCATTCTATGCCATCTGGATCTTACATTTTGGTATTTCAACAGTAATCATATGTAACCAAAATCAATAATTTGAATACATTCCATATAAAACTCCTCACTCTATTTCTCGAACGGCATTCAAATAGTTGTAAATACTTATATCTTTGTAAATAAAATAACATAAATACTGGCAGCTTTATTCCTAAGTACAGTATATCATTAAGAATTTCTGTTTAATAATAGTTCAAAATTATGAGCTTCAATTTATTCAGTTAGAAAAATGTATCAATTAGGAGAATCAAAAAGCATGATTATCAGTGGTGCAAAATTAATCTCAAAAGGTTCTAGAATGGCTTTAATGATCTGGAAAGTTTAGAGCAACCATTTTACTCTTTCTAACCTTTTGGCCCATCAGTAGGCCAAGAGGTTAAAGAAGACAAAGTTTTTTTTTTTTTTTTTTTTAAATTACTAAATGGGCTGACTGCATGACGTTTTGGCATATTTCCTATGTATAACATAGATATCAGCCATTTTCTAGAAATCCTCAATAGAGATATCCTCTCTAAAGCAGACAGTCCTTAAATATTCTGCTACAATCAATTAGCCAGCGAATAGTATTACAATGCACTTCTTTATATTGCATTAACTTGATAGTCATATCTGGATATTTATTATTTTTAGTGGAAAATTTGTGACTGTATTTATTGCATTATGATTAATTACATCTTTAAAAAATTTATTGTAATAGATGATGTTTCATAAGTTTTACTAAAATATTCTAAATAATAATCTTTGACACTATGAGTAAAGAAAAGCTTTCCAGATATATGTGCTAAATATCAAATGAATACAATCTGCATTGCATTCTGCAGTTTCCATATTTTGCTTCTTATGAAGGATAAAAAGGAAATAAAAAAGATGATTTTTAACAGAATCTACTACCAAAAAGCTTCCAAAAATTAGATATGAATTATATTGAAAATTAAGAAAAGTTTTTTTGTAGGACAAGTTTCGCAAATTACTACCAAATGAATTGATTAAAATAATTTTACTGGTAGACTGTTTTGACACCAAAATAAGAATAAAAACTTAAAGAAAATATATAACTTAATAGTCAGCTTTTAGACAAAACAGTTCTTTAAATGAAGTCTGGTAATTAAGTACATTTCTGTTAAAGTATCTCTCTATAAAATATATTGCTTAACACTTTTCAGAGAATATATATTGAACAGCAACTGAATTACACAAGGTTCATAGGCACATTTTAGTTAAAAAAATAAGCACCTATAAGGACTTTTCAAGCACATTTTAAGAAAAAAAATAAGCACCTGTCTAATTACATTATACACAACTGCATAACCTTAAAAATTAGATTCGTAATTTAAAATATGAGACATGCAGTATTTATTAAGAGAGAATAAGCATTACCTCAACCATGGAAAATAATTACTTTTTTTTTTTTTAATTTTAAATAACAGTTCAATTTACAGAACTAGTTTACAATGAGAGAAAAAAAAAACTATGCAGAACTAAACTATATTACAAGATTTAATGATGAAATTTCAGTTCAAAATAGAGGAAAAAATAATATATAGGCATATTTATTCCATTCGCTTGGAACTTAATAATAAATACAATTTATTTTTCCACTCATATTGATATTTAACTAATTTAAATCTAAATTCTGAACAGTTTCTAAATTTTCATCGTATATCAGTTTTCCCTTAACAGATATTGCAAGCAAAGTAATTTAATTAAAAAAGAGGAACATTTCACAAATCAGAAGACAAATTTGCTTCATGCAGTCATCCTTTAACTGTAAAAGCTTAACTACCCGCATACTTGAAAATTGGCGAATATTCGGACAGTGGACCGTAGCCGAGGAGGGGGATAGACTGTAGCCGTCCTTCAAGATTTTTCCGCTAAATAAATGCTTTTGACATTTCAATATGTGCATCATATAAAAAACAAACCAATGGAACAGAAAAATATTCTGCTTAGCAAGCACAGTAAAACTCTTTTAAGTGTTCATAAACAAATCTCGGACCGAACATCAAAATTAATTATCTCTGCAAAATATTGCAAACGTTATTGCGCAATATGTGCGCTGTAATTCTTCCCTACATGATATTACGCAATCGGATTCAACAGCTGCTGGTATTGGGAGAATAAAGAACTAAATAAAGGAAAAGAAAGAGACTTAACCAATCTGGGCTGTTTTCCATTCTAATTTTCAACAGACTGCATTAAATTTCCGGAATAGAATCATTCTTCGCTTGGGTTGGTAGACCGCAGAACTTTTAGTCCTATTCAATCCCGATTGGAAAGTGACCCCCCCCAAAAAAAGTCCGTTGCTTGTTTTGCAGCGAACTGTAACAGTTTCAATATTCGAGATTTTGCGGAGAATGGGGAGAACCTCCCAACCTTTGTACTGTATAATGTATTGGCCAAAAAAATAAAATTATTTTGACTATTCGATTACTTTCCCTTTATTTAAGCCATTCCAAATATTATTCCTTAGAAAGCTAATCTGTGTTAAAACACAACCATTTTTGGAAGTTTACTATACTTCAGGAGTTACTGCAACTATGTTATTATAAACATTCATACATATGCTCATAATATAAGCATAATGATCATAATAAACACAAATATGAATTGACCAAGCGGAACGAGAATGCAAATTATTAAGATCTTGATAGAAATTCAAACGTGCGTAGTATTTGGGTGGGAGGAAAAGAATGCCGAATGTATCGGGATTTTCACTGCTTTCGCAATTCTTAGACCAACAGAATGACGGGCACTTGTCTGTACTCTCCACGCAAACGAAACGTTATGTTAATGCAGAGAAAGGGGGAAAAGCTATTTCCGGGATTATGATTCACCATCTGACATTCCATATTAGGAAGAAAAGTTGTTTATTTAGTTTCGGCTTTGGTACGGGGAAAAATTGCGCATTCATTTAAAAAAAAGCACTAAAAGCAAAAAATAAGCACTAAAAACAAAAAAATAAGGGCTTTAAAGAAAAAGTAAGCACCTATAAGGGCCTTTATATTTTATTTTCAAATATAAGGACTTATAAGCACTTATAAGGACTGCTACGAACCCTGTTACAGACAGCATGTGGTGATACTGCATCACATAGGTCTCACAAATGAAAAAGAATGGGAAGCCATATGACTGAGAACTTGTTAGACTTTATACTGTGTGTCAAAGTAACATTTGAGCTGCTGATCATTATAACTCAAGATCTCAGAGCACCTGGTCAAGGCTGGATTGTCACAGTTAGACAAAATGAGCACTCCATCGCCAAAGTTGCAGATTCTCATGAGCTAACTATGTCAAATTAAATTAGTAAATCGAACAGATGCACCATAATGTAGCAGATCACTCGCCAGTTCATTGCAAATAATAATTAAATATGAGCAGCCGTAACCACTAGAGTAGTAGAACCACTAGAGTACCTCTGTTTACTGCATGCCACAGAGATTAACATGGAGAAACGAACATTGTCATTAGACTCCTGAAAAAATAGCCTGGATTGATGCGTCTAGATGCCAGTTGATACCCATGGATAGGAACATATGAGTATGCTCATGATGGATCTTTCATCTGTAGAGAATAATTTAAACCATATCCACATATTTCAATTATTTATGCAGGAAAAATAGATTATGTAGGAAAAAATGCCCCCGGAGCATTTATAATCTTTTGCTAGTTAGTGAATATAAAAGAACATGTCAGCTCATTTGTTTGCCTCAATCTAAGGACCTTGTCTATGAGGTCACTTAAGTCTATTGAATATATCTGGGACACTAGTAAGACATATATGTGTGCACTGGACTTTGTTCTGGCAAGTATTCATGCATTATGAGAGGCTGCACAAACATAGACCAATATAGCTCTCTAATACTTGTAAAGTCTACGCTATGTTGCATTCCTGTTGCCGTAGAGCGTAAAATGGGTGACACACTACTAAGCAGCTAATTTTCACTCATTTGCTTCAAACTATATTACCTGATGAATGTACATCACTTGTATCTTTTCCTGTGCTTTCAAGTTACTTCAAGTTACTGCAAGTGCAGTATTCTTGCATGATATAACCTATGTCACTGTCCAAACCTTACTATATACACCTCATAGAAACTTGAAAAGGCTGTATTTTCCTTTTAAGCAGGCATTTATATGACTAATTGCAAGACTTCTAATTGAGCAAATCTCCTTTACAGCTGGAGAAAGTATACCAAATTATAAAATGCATTGCTTAACATATCGACTGCCGCCATATTTAAAAAAAAGTTGCTGTTTTTGGCTGCTATTATTACTATTATTTTGATTAACATATCATAAATGTTTCCTAATGTCAGGTAATATATTTGTAATACATAATATTATATTTAAATCTGTTTTTAGACCATAATTAGTTTGTATTCATTTGGTTTATTTGATTATGGCAAAACTCTTAAGCGCTACACCTGCCTAAAGGGAAGGATGCCTTTGTGGATGACCTTTCTAAGGAAAGTTGGCTCATATACATTTTACACAGGGGGGTAGCTACGAAAATGCCCATGATCCAGCCCATTCACAGCATTTGAACCTTAGACTGAACTACCAGTGTTCAGCGACTTTACCGCTCAGCCGCTGTATTCGAGTGGATATATAATGTCCATGTGAAATAAATATGTATTATTTAGATACAAAATGGTGCTTGATATGTTAAATGTCATCTATTTTTTATTTACTGCTGCTATTATATACCACTGACTTCACAGCAATTTTTTTCATTGCAGATCCATTTCTCGTAGTAGACATGAAATTGAATTTGTAATTACATTTAACATTAATTAAGAACATTAATTAGCTGGAGCTGTTTTATCAGAACAATAAACATGATGCATTACTTTTGTTGAGCCTAAAATAAGAGGGAAAAAAAAAAAAAAAAAACCTAAGGAAAGGGAAAAGAGAGAATTTTTTTCTTACCCTGATTAAAAGCAATAAAATTTAAACAACTAAAGTATAAAATTTGATTCAAATGCCTTATCAAAATTAAGTCAATTATTTTTCAGTTACACAAAAAGGGATATTTTAAATACAAGGCAAAATATAAATTCAAATGAATACTTTACCTTTTCCGCCATGAATAGCCACTGCTTCTACATTTTTCAATAATAAATATTCATGGATAGCATCAACATCTTGTTTTTTCTCAGCAAATATTAATACCTTTTAAAAAAAGAAGAGTTAAGAAATTATCAATAATTATTCTTTTGCAGGTAGTTATTCAAACTCTTTCAGCAAAATAAACATTACATTCTTAAAAAAAAGTGTTGCAAATATCTTCTTATCCTTTTAATACAGGCAAATTTCGAGACATAATTTATTAAAATAAATAAATAAATGCAAAAAGGTCATTGCAAAAGTCTGCTTTTAAAATTTTGCTGAATTTAGCAAACAGCATATATCATATTAATTATAAATTATTTATCAGAATAGTTTGTTTTTAATGTGTTTTTATTAAAAAATATGATAGAAACCAGATGGTGCCCCATTCCAATCATGGTTACAGCTAATTTAATTTAAATATTTAATTTTAAAATATTATTTTGCCTACCGTTTCACACTTCAAGATAAATTGATATACTAGAAGCCACATTATCATAAATGAAGTGCACATTATTAATAAAGATGTTATTTTTACACCAGAAACCATATTTTTAATTTGAGTTAGGAGTTTAAACTCAATAAAGTGACAGACCTACAGCCACCTTTATGAATATGGCTATATTACTGAATGCAGTATTTTTTCTGCCTCAAAAAGTGCCTACAGAAATTTCTTTCATTCTCCTTCAGAAAGGACCAGATGGTCTTCATAGCTTGAAGCCTCAGATTATTTCAGTGCTTCTAATGTGGTATTGCTATGGTTACTCAGGCAGTTTGATTCAACTCTCTCTCTCTGGTGATGAATTTGACATTAGCCTTGGATGATAATCCAGCCAAATTCTGACATATGTACAACACTGCAACAGTTAGCACCATATACTGATGAAAGGCAATATCTGCTTTTCTCAAATCTGCCTCTTAAGACATTGTCTTTTACCATTAAGATTTGACTGAATGTCTCATTCTCTAATTAGTTAACTGATAATTCAACAAGCTGTACATTTATTATATTTTTATATAACAATTTTATTTACATTTTTTATAAAATAATTTATATTTTATCTGTAATAAAAAAAGACAATCTAATACTACACAACTGCATAATAACCATACATACTAATAGGATAATATACACAGTTGAGAAAAATTATAGAAAGGTGCTCTATGCAAATCCATGAAAAGTAGTTTGTTGGTAGCTCTAGATCAAAGCTGTCATGTAATCCAATGGGATTCACCTTCATTACACAGAAACCTGCAAATATTTTCAGCCATTCTTTTGGCACATATGAAAAGGGATGCAAGGGGTACTTAAGATTCTAATTTTAAGGATTCTTGTCGTTGGAAACAAATTTTGCATGTAGGAGGTGAAATATATCATATATAATTTATATATATATATATATATAAAAAGGCATCTGACAGATTATGAGAAATGACATGTGATTGGGAGAATGGAAAAGAGACATCCATTAACACAGTCTTTCAAGACTTAAAGTAGTTAAAAGTATCATGTCAAGGATCTGAAAACAGTTTAGAAACAGTGGTGATACATTCAAATACCAAAAATCCGCCGACCTGAAATCCGCCAACTCCTGAAATTTGCGTTGCCTCTCAAAATATAAACATTCAGTTTAAAAGTTTCGGAAACCGCAACATGGAGTACATAATAACGAAGAAAAAATACTTAACGAAAAATGACGTCAAAGAATAATAATAAGTCATAACGGAAGTACCAAATTATCGACATCATGATAAAAGTTTTTTTTCCCTTCAATCTGCATCGAAGTAAAAAAGCAGACAATTCACTCAACTTTTCTTTCAAGTTCATGATTCCCGTTGTTGCAGTTTCTGAGCTCTGTTACTTTACAAGATTGTTTAGTGCTGCCGTTTTTTTATTCAGATATTTTGAGGATAGATTAAGAATATTTTAAATTTCAGCGCTTACTAATACAATGACAGATAAGAAATGCACTCATGATTTTACTGCTTGCAATGTTGAAAAATGTAAACACGTTGCATTGACGGTAATGCAAAAAGTGGAAATTCTGCAAAAGATGGAGGCAAGTGCTACTCCTCAGTTTACAGCAGAATTGTATGGAATTGAGACACAGACTGTGCATGATACACAGAAAAATAAAGAAAAGCTGTTGAAATTTTACAGCAACAGCGATTCCAACACTGGAATCCGAAGCCGGAAATTTTTGCATGAGGTAAAATTGACAAACTTCGATGCTGTCTTGTACGAGTGGTTCCGGCAGCAGTGGAGTGAATGGGGTACCAATTTCAGGACTGCTCCTGAGAGAAAAGGGAAAGCATATTCATCTGATTTAAAAATAGTGGAGCCGTGCGGTTTCAGCAGCAGTAGGCGAAACAGATTTAAACAGAAACACGGTATATGTTATCTGAAAGAATGTGAGGAAAAACTTTCAGCAGATAAAGATGCTGCAGAGGAGTTTATTGATGAATTTTCAGTGTTAATGGCAGAAGAAAATCTTAGCCCAGAACAGGTTTTTAATATGGACGAGACTGGACTTTTTTGGCGATGCTTGCCAACAAAGACATTTGTGATAAGCGAAAAAAGTGCACCATCAGGGGTGAAGGAAACTAAAGAAAAGGTTACCATTTTAGTATGCAGCAATGCAGCTGGAACTTACAAATGTAAACCAGTGGTAGTGGTAAAAGCACCAATCCCAGAGCTCTGAAAGGAGTAAAATCTTTACCTGTGATTTACAGGAATAATAAAAATTCCTGGTTAACAAAACAACTTATGACTGAATGGTTCATGGAGCATTTCATTAAGGAGGCTGCAAGGCAGTGTGGGGTTACCATCAAATTGCAAGATTTTACCATTTTTCGATAACTGCTCTGCACATACAGATACAATCATTTTAACATGTGATAATGTCATGGCCCCTTTTTTACCCCCAAATACATCATTGCAGCAAGGGTTAAAGCAAGAGCATTGCTTTTATATTCGAAAGAAAGAATAAATGAGGAGGCTTTGCAAGAAGACATTGCGGAATGGATGATGCATTCAGATGAGCCAACACTGGCATATCAGATGACTGATGATGAAATCATTGGCTCTGTTTTGGACTCTCCACAACAAGAAGACAATTCTGACACCAACACAGATAGTGGAATTTGATAGAAGTGAGAAAATATCTTTTAATGAAGGTCCGAAACACGGTGTAAAATCTCTAAAATTTTTAGAACAACAGAGTTGTGTCACAGAGCAAAAGATTATGACTCTATCTAATTTACAAAAAAAAAAAAAAAAAAAACTTATTCTGGAGCACCCTAAAGTTTTAAAACAAACCTCCATCAGAAAAATTTTTGAAACATGTAAAAAAAAAAAAAAAAAAAAAAAAAAAAACTTTATGCTTTATTAATATCCCTTATTTTTATCTGTCTGTTGAATACATCCCTAATGCTTTTAAATATCCCTGTAATCACTAATGTAAATGAATAATCAATTTATATATACGTAGATTGGGGCAAAAATCATGGCAACTATTTTTTTACTTGAAGATACCAGTCCGGTTGAAAAATATGACATATACAGACGAAAGGACAAGGTCTTAATTACATGTGTGGACAATGAATAGCACTGAAATATCGTAACACACGAATTTATTACGGTAGTATACGGGGCAATATAGCCTTCACCGTGCAAAAGAATGATAACACAATACACATAAAGTTGACATGACAAACCTGGGCCTAAAGACCCTCAATGTAGTCTCTTGCTGTCACCACATGCTGTCAACGATGTGGGAGGCACCGAATACCATCAGCCTCAGCATTTGCTGCACCATGTGTGAATCGGGTCATCTGCTAGCGCACAGCATTAGCAATGGCCTCTCGTGTTCCACGCCTACCACGTATTAGTTCCTTAATCTTGGGAATGAGATCAAAGTCAGAGGGCGAAAGGTCAGGAGAGCATGGTGGGTGCTCCAATTCTTCCCATCCCCAACGTCGGAGCTGCCGTACACACTCTGCTTTATGTGGTCTTGCATTGTCGTGCAGAATTATTGCACTGTCCACAAGATCCGGACGTTTATACCGAAAGCCACGTTGTACCTGTCACACCAGGAAGTCCTGTACAGTCACTGCTCTGCCATGAGGAACAAAGTGGCAAACAATGACACCCCTGACGCCATACGCGACGATCACCATCAATTTGACTGGGGAAGGATTCTGACGCTAGCTCATTATGCCATATCCTGTCGACGGTGCGTTTCTCGATGCCACTTGCCTTCTCTAACTCCAGCAATGTCCATCTTTCTTTATCCATGAGGTGTACTTTGTACTCTGTCTTTCTTCATTCATGAGGTGCTCGATGATGGCACGTGCCAAGTCGATCCGCACACACGCCAGTCGTTCCAAACGTTGCTCATCACTGGTTGACACACATCCTTGCTGAAACTATCCTACCCACAGTGCTACTGTACGATATGGTAGGACATTATTCCCAAGGGTTCTACTAATTCACTGTGACATTCCATCGCATTTCTTACTCGGAGAACGGCTATTTTGATGTAAGCGCGCTGCTCAACACTGGTTACTTCCATCTCGCACGTCACTCACCAACTGACTGATTTCAGAACCCTTGCTACCACAGAGCCATCTGTTGTTCTGCATACACACTATGCCTGCAGAACTTGCACATGACACATATACGTTTTGCGATCCGTTCACATATCTACAAGAAAAAAAACTGTTGCCTTGACTTTTGCCCCAACCCTTGTATAATAATAATTTAATGCATATAATAAATTATTGTAATAATGTATATAATAATTTAATTAAATGTATCTAATATGCCTTATTTATTTTGCACTTTTAGTCTGAATATCATGATTTATCTTTTCTGTCCTGAAATCCACAAATCCTGAAAAAGTCTTAAAATCCGCACAACCTCTGGTCCCAAGCTTTGCAGATTTCTGGACTTCTACTGTATAAGCATATAACAAGGTCAAGGACCCAAATTTGTCAGAACACACTGCCAGGACCATTATTTGGTAATGATTGTTAAACAGACAACTTATGTCAGCCGTCTCAATGGAATTCGTTGCAGTTACAGGAATTTGACTATACAGATATATCATACGTGATAGGCTGCATAAAAGAGAGCTGTATGCAAAGAAACCCCAGAATTTGTAATCTACTAATCAGGCTGTGAAATATGCCCTGCTGCATTGCTGCAGAAATCTTCACAAAAGGAGTACCAAGGACTGGAGCCAAGTTCTCTTTACTGAACAATTTTATTTTTGTTTGAAGAGTGACACATAAATAAGGGATTAAAACACATGAATAGCCTGAAAACATCAGAGAAAGGCGTCAGTTCAAAGTTGGTAGAATCCCGATATGGGCAGGCATTTTAAATGGTTGAACTGACTTTTTTAAATGGTTGACTACTTTTTATCAATGCAACTATGAATGCTAAAATGTTCAGAGAAAAGGTTCTTGATAAATATGTCACATTGCTTAGGACTGCAGTTAGTAATAACTTCCTACTAATGAATGATAATGCTTGTGTCCATCTTATTGCACTTGTGACTGATTATTTTGAGGGCAAAGGAATCCAGCAGATGGAGTAATCCACATATTCTCAGGATCTGAATCTAGTGGAATGTGTGGGATGCCTAAGACACTGAATTGTATCACTGCGGACCAGAAAAAAATGGAAGGTGTTCACACAAAAACTGGAAGTTTTCAAAAGGTTTTTGTTCTGCATAGTGACATTATTTCAAAAGAGGTCTAGATTGAACTAAATTCACTTTAAAATACATCTCAGGTTATTGAACTACTTATAATACAGTACAAAGTCTTTAATCCGGATGTCCAAAATCCAGAATGATATATAATTCAAACCTCAAAGCTACAAACTTTCTGCGCATATGCATTTATGCATGCGCATAATACGTTTACGCATACGCATTTAATGTATAACAGACAGTATAAGCTGGCTAAAATTATCTAATTATCTATTTCAGTTAATGTTGCAGATTGCGTTGTTCCTTAATTTTCTAATTGGATCCGGCTTATTATTTTTTGCAGACTGTTAGAGCAATTTTATAAAAAGTAAGCTTGAACTTTTAATTATGTCAAAAAGAGTTTCTGATTCTGGAACTGCCAAAGGATCTACAAAGCAAAAGCATGTTTCGATGTCCATCAAACAAAAAGTGGAATCGCTGCAAAAAATGGATAAAGGCACGAAGAAAGTGACAGAGAGGTTAGTGAAAACGAAAAAATTTCGATTGACAAGTTAGTCAGTATTCTCGGCACAGCAATTACAGGACTTGAACAGCGGAACTTTGTAACTGAACAGGAAATTATGTCTGTTTATAGAATTAAAGAGAAAGTATTAGCACATAAAACAAGTAACTTAAACAACTTGAATTGAAAGAAATGTTTAATAAAGTAAACAAATAAATATTAAACTTTTTTTTTGTAAATTTTGATACCCTTTAGATCATAATTGCTCTTTATTTCATAAATTATGGTTTCATATTTTTAATTTTATAATTTATGCATGCCATCTTACCAGATTTAAATTGATGAACTATAATCCGGAAAAAACCGAAATCCGGAACCGCCGAAGTCCCAATGAGTCCGGATTAGAGACTTTGTACAGTATGAATCTAATACAAAATATATTAACAAGTAATATATAATTTGTGTTAAGTTGTGTAATTTTCTTATGTTTACACTTTCTTACACTTCTTATATTAAGAAAACCCTGAAGAGAGGGAAAAAGTCTTTTATTTATCACAGGGCTTTTAAATATAATTAAAATAAAATTAATAATTAATGTATAATAAATTAATAATTAATGTAGACACTATAGTGTGAGTAAACTCATTATTGTACTATTTCTTGATGTAAAACAAAATTAAACACAAATATTAACTGATAGACATTGGTTTAGTCTTCATTTAACATCCTACAAATGTCTACAAAATAGTAACACAATTCAGATCAATTAAAATTTAATAAATTTGCACTGAAAATCACTAGAAGTGACAGAACGGTATTTGCACAATTTAAGGTTCACGAATTCAAATTTAATTTATTGCAGGGAAAGAGTTTTCTTAGGAAAGGCTAAAAATTAGAAACAGGGAAATTTAGTGACCTACTAGAAGATGAGATGAGGTGATGAAAAACTTTCCTCCGCAATGTTGCCAAATAGTGCAATTTTTCGCAAATTTGCTATTTTTGACAATCTGTGCTACAAAGATTCACTTATTCCATCTTTTCCTTGTGCAACTTTTTTCTATATTGAAAGGTTTTTAATGTATCATAAAATATGCATAAATTAATATAAAACATCTACTAAAATTAATTTATAATTAAAAAAATTATTTAGGTCTAAATAAATGTTGGTAAACTGACAATTTTGCAGTTGCAGCCCAAAAATACATGTGGACTAAGTTTTCAACATCAGTTGCCAATGTTTCCACTTGTTTGATTATCTGTTATGTTTAATATTTTGCTTGGTATGTGAGTAGAATTCCAAAATTTAAATCAGTTTATAGCTGCTGTGTTAATTAAGGAAAATGAATGATGAAACAATGAATTATGAGCCATGTGGAAAAATGAAGCACAACCCATTAAAATACTAACTTAATACCCATGTAAAAGAACTGGTTATAAAGAATAAAAATAGAACAAAAGCTTATTGCAAGCTATGTAAAGGTAATCAGAATGTACGCAAAGAAAAATGAACCACGAATTCTAAAGAATTAGCATAACAGTGGTAACAATCGAATGTGAGAAAGCACCTAACAATTGATATGAACAAATTAATTGAAAAATAATAACTTAAAAAAGAAATGGAGATTAAACAAAGGAAAATTAGCACTCTGGCTTAAAGATTAAATTTAAAACTACTAATATACATTATTAAAATGAACAAGTATCAAATTACAGTCTGTAGCTTATGGAATACATGGTAACTGAATTTATGATGATGTCAGAGGTCATGTGAGCTCAGAATCTATAATGTCACAAAAAATCATGTAATCTCTGACATCATGCACTACTTTTTGTTACTTTTCAATTCTTCCCTTGCTACTTTAGCTAAAAAACTTCTGTAAAAACTGGTCTATCACTGAAAATAAGAGAGTTGGCAGTTATGAAAATATATTATTCAATCAGGATGTAGTCAAGGAAAATGAAGTATAAATATAATTTAAAATTCTATAAATATTTATATTACTGAAAACAATTTGATATTTCACTACAAATTATTAAATATCCTTTATATTAAATTTAATTACTATTATATAAATATTCAAAAATGTTTCCATACAGGTGGTGGAGTTTTAGTAAGTGTGTCCAGAAGGTGAACAATTTTCGCTTCTTGTTTCACGTATTCCACTTCCTGAATAACATCTGCACTAGCAGCTCCAGCTCTCCCAACATTCACAGTTACAGGTTTCACTAAAGCACTCCGTGCAAAGTTCTGTATCTTTTTAGGCATAGTTGCAGAAAAAAGAAGTGTCTGCCGTTGACCCTATAAAAATATTTACATTCCAAATGAAAATGGGGGGGGGGGGAAGATGAAGATGAAGAAAGAAAAGGAAAAAAATACTACTGTTATACATTTTAGAAACTATTCAGAAATTTCCAATAACTTACACTAACTTTCATTTTGAATTCATATTCCTTTTAGGCTTAATAAGAACCCAAACTATACACCATAAATTTAAATAATGCGCTTAAAAAACATTACACACTGTAACTGCTTAAGATATCTAAATCTGTACTGGGGATAAAGTTAACCTGAAAACACAAGAAAGACATAACTAGTGTACATTTGCTAATTCATGCAAGACATAAATATTTTATCAAATTGATGTTTATTTGATTTATGTAAATTCTTTATTAACTAAATTAATATAATCCCAAATTAATGGTATCTTGAAATTGTCCTGCCAATAAACTCTTTTACTTTGATCTATTTATTTGGTAGCTCATTAATTTTGACAATCCTACAGAAACACCTTTTTTTTCTTTTTAAAGCAGAAATTCAAATTTTAAATTCTACTTTAAACCATCATATTCAACTCTTTCAATTTTTTTGTCAATCATTTTGAAACAGAAGCAAAGAATAAAAATGCAAACTAATAATGGCATGTCATTTGTCTAACTTCTAATGAAATAAACTGAAACAAGGGAGACAATCATACAGCAATAAATACAGGCAATTAAATTAATATGAGCTAAACTGAATAAAATAGTAATAATGTTCCAAATACGAAACAGCATTTATTTCAAGCAATGCTTAAAGATGAAGAACTACAAAAAAACAATAAATAAACTGATCACTCCACATTTTCTAGTATTTCAAGTTGGCTTTGCTTTGATTGTAAATATACTGATGTTCAATATAGATTTACTCCATTCTGCATTTTTTGTAATACCTATATTCCTGTTTTAGGCATTTAGTTTATTTTTAATAGTCAACTATTAGAATGAAATGTCCATTTCAGGTGCACCTTTTTCCAACACCATGAAAATGAAAACTATGGTACCTGGTTTATCAAAGTACTTATGCTTGCAACCACACCATTGCTCAGGCAATGACTGAATTCTGCAGCAAAAGAAGTCAGGAGTCTGCAATGCAAAGTCCTCAACATGTTGCATGGCCTGAACATCAGGGAAAAATTTCCCTGTCAAGGAGTGATTGAGATGCTTGAAGAATTGGTAGTCAGCAGGCAAAGGAATACAGTAGGTGACAAAGTATTACTGCAAGTTAGTGTAACTCATGAAAAGGCTGACATGTTCTCTGTGCGACATGTGGGCAAACACTGTCTTGTAGCATGAGGATATCATGTCTGTTGACCACTAATAGATGCTTGCAGATAAACAAGGTCTGAGAAAGTTATTTCACCACTTCATCATAAAGCACTATAACACTTTCTGTAGGTGCGGAGCTGGTTTAGGAAATCTTGGACAATGGATGTTGATCATAATCGAACCACTGTTTTGAGTATTTAAAACTGTCTTAGCAGATCCATTTTTCATCTGAACTGATAATATAATGCAGAAAACCTTTTCACTTATTCTTTTTACTAAGAGGAGGACACACCTCCAGACAAAGAATTTTAATGGCCTGTATGAACTCATATGCAGAAGTCTCACATTTTCAACTTACTGACTGTAAGCCACTGAACAACAGTGTGGCATGTCTAACTTGCTATGGCGAGAACACTATTCTAAATATCTGCTTCTACAGTTTTCCCGAGAAGCTCATTCAAACATGATGTTAATCAGTGCCTAAAGGCATATTTCACAATGATTTGCCTCAAAATGAAATTTGACAACCCAATGGCAAATGGTGCGTTACTTTTGTCATTCCTGGTCCAAATGCACTATTTATGTTTTTTGAGCTGTGTTTGAGCAAAATGATTTGCATCTGTGTTCACCATGATGCTTTTTATACAACCCTATTTAACAATGAATAGCCTCCAGACTGTTTATGGTTCTCAACTTGTTTACTGGGCATGCAAAGAGCTTGTGACGTCAAACATGTGATCTCTTCTATCCCTGTATTGTGGTGCTCAGGACAATTTCAACCAAACATCAATAGTAGTTTTTATTTTTTTAATGCCCATCAGCATTCAGAGAAAAACATTATTGCTTTGAAACATTTATTTTCAGCACAATAAACATGTACTCATATACAAAATATGGATATCATTTGCACAGAGATTTAAGCAAATAAATTTTGTTTCCTTATTCTTTCTCATCAACCACAACAAACTGCTACTATAGCAAAATAGGAGACTTTCAATTCTGCTGTTATATGACTTTTTTTTTTTTTTTAGGGGGGAAGGGGATTGAATTCTCATCATTTGAAATTTTCATGCAAAAGATTCTCTTAAAATTCTGTAACTTATTTAACAATATATTCTTGATTATGTAAGATAAACAGACAAAAGGTAAAATAAACAAAATTTATAAAATATTAAAGAAACAATTTTTTTAAATTTCATAAATATAAAAATTACATTTTATATATTTTACCTTTTTGTGTTTTACTTAATAAAACAGAATCAGAATTTTATTGATTGAATTTTTTAAAATTTATTTTAAAATTTCTTCATTGTCATAATAATATAATCAAAATAAAACTGATCTGTTTTTTAACATGTAACAGCATAGAAGAAGGGAGGTAATGCTAAATGAAATTAGGAACTTCATTTTTCCATTTGAGTTCATTTCATTTTGAAAGAAAACAACCATAACAAAAGCAGAAAAAAGATCTGATCAAATATAAACAACTTCTGTAATAGTTTTGTTGCTGTAACTTCAGAAATATCAAATAAAAGGTGTTCTGTGTTGGCTACATGTACATCTAAGAGGCTTTTGTTGAAATATTTCTTCATAACAACAATTTTTTAAACAGATTAGTCAAATAATTTTTATCTGAAATTCTTTTGTTACTGGATAAAATTTAAATATTTTCTATCTGAATACATAAACTACAAAATTTAAAACATCTATCAGCATTCCCTTACATACCCCCTTTTGATTTTAGAGTAGGAATTGTTATGGAGAAAACACTGAAATTTTTATTTAACATTAGAAAAAGTTTACAAGTTTATAAATATATCATAAAAAAGCACATTCAAACTATTCTCATGCAATTATTTTCATAGTTTGCTTGAAGCTATTTAATAGTCTGTAACTACTAACCTTAAAATAAGAGAAAATTGTTCTGACATCTTCTTCAAATCCCATATCAATCATACGATCAGCTTCATCTAAACATAAATATCTGCATATGTTCAGATTTACCATCTTTTTGTCTAACATATCCATTAATCTACCTGGTGTAGCAACCATTATATGAACTCCTCTGCAATAATAATAAATATGTAAATAAATAAACTACTATAAATCATACAGTCATTTATTTTGGTATGAAATCTTCACATGTGATATCCCCCACAGATATTCAGAAACATTTTATAGGCTGTATATAATTTTTTCGATGGATAAAGTGTGTTGGTTTTTTTATTAGCAAAATGTGTGCAAAAATATTTCTGAGATGCAGTTATATCTTACTCTAAATTACATTGCCATGAACCTCAAGCTGTCTTGTAGTGACTTATGAGATCTTACTGGATTTTAATACATTTTTATTTATATTAATTTGTTGAATTTTCAAGTAATTCAACAAATTATGAACATCAACTGATATTTGATTATTAAATTAATACATTAAATGCTATGGGCATTTATAAAAGTTCTATTTTCTAGAGCAGGGCTTCTGAAACCTTTTTCAATCGTGATTCCTTTTTATCACTGAGAATATTTTTCTCGACCCCAGATATTAAATACAAAATAAAAATATTAAAATAAATTTCCTCTTATAAATAATTTACTTCTTTGGTAAACAATATACATATAAAAAGAATTAATTTTAGGATTTATTTTAAGCAAGCAAGAATTAAAGACAGTTCTAATGAGATAGATGTGTTTCTTTTCTTCTGCATGACAAATTAAATGTTGGTTTGATTTTTGACACTGCTGGACATAAAGCATCTTCAACATTTGATTTTAATTAATGTTAAAGATGAAAAAGTAGTTTCATACAAATATGTAGTGCTGAAGAGAGAAGAACATTTAATGTCATTTGAGAAATAGAGAGAAATTTATTTCTAACTCCGATTCAGAATTCATCAAGAATTTTTGTGAAAACTCAAGTTTTAAGTTTGAATCGCTAGATAGCTTTAAAAATTCCTTTTGTACTTAATATAAGAGGTAATTAATCACATTAATATAAATTAATGCAATGTCTTTAAAAGAATAATCTTATTAATGTCAATTAATGTAATTTCTTTAAAAGTCTTATGAATACAGTTTCTTTAAATTCAACTATTGAACTGAATTTTTGCAACCACAAAACTTCGATTTGCAGCTTTATTTGGGGTTGCAACCCATAGTTTAGGAAATTCTATTCTAGAGAAATAAAATATTTCCGCTAATCAAATAATAATTTTGCTTAAAGTTTGATATCCCACATTTATTAAAAAAAAAAAAAAAAAAAAAAAAAAAAAAAAAGAGCTTGTCCTTTTAGATTACCTCTTGATTACTTCCAACTGATCACGCACTGAAGTGCCTCCTATACATAAACAGCATCTTAAGTCTGGAAAGCCTTCACTGGATAAACACTTGCCATAATACGATAAAATCTCGTATGTTTGTTTAGCAAGCTCCCTCTGAAAGCAAATAAAAAATAAATCAATTAAACATGATAATAGCTTTTTTACTCTATCAAAAACTGAGTGACTTGCTAAATAAAAACAGAAAAATACATTCTTTTATTTGTAATTTTAAATAATAATGATAACTATTCGATTTTGGAGATTCAAATTTTGACACTACACAGGTTAAGTAGTTTAAGTAAAATTTTATATAGCTTTTCTTTCTCTATTTTTAAAGTGTTATTCCCGAAGATATAATAAATATTACCTAAACTCCCAATTTTTACTTTTTGCACAATTAGTTTTTTTTTTCATATTTAATTCATTTGATTTCAAACATAAAAAAGTCACATAATTTTATTAAAAAGTACTTTCAATACGTAATGGATATACTTTTAGAAGAATCCACTAATCTAATTTGAACCTACCACATTTCTTCAATCATATGACCCACCTTTTTTCCATACACATCCTTAAAGACACTGTGCATTAGAATGTTGAAAAGGCCATAGTTTTTTTTTTTTTTTTTTTTTTTTGAAAACTTTGAATGTTCATACTTTTAAAAGAGGTTTATACAGTTCAAAATCCAAGTTCCTGCCTTATTGGGACTTTGGGGATTTTGGATATTGCATAATCAGTTTAGATCTAGTAAGATAACATGTAGAAATTATAAAATGTGTGTTTGAATGATATATGATGGAGAATCTCTTTAATCCTTTAAACACCCAAGGTTGTGTATCTTTTTAATTAGAAAAAAATTACACTCATACATTCCTGCAGCATTTGCACAAGCTAAAATTCTTAGTTGTGCTTTGGAATCCTTGATACCAGTTGGATCCTTTCCTGCAGAGGTTGACAATGTATTTTACGGACACATATTATCAGAAAAGACCAGTTTCATCAGCAATGTAAATGTGTTTTGGAGATAATGCTATAGTTGAAGATGGACACATTGTCTATTTTTTGCCGTAATTCTTTTTTTGCTTAATGGGCAGCAAAACATGTTCTTGCTTTGCAGATCCTGTTTCCTAAGATTGCTATAATAATAATAACCTGCAAAATAAGCTGGATCAAACTAAAAAGTTAACAAACAGCACAATTTAATATTTTAACTGGATTTAAATTCTTTTGGATCATTACTGCCTTGTTTTAGCCTAGCTTAATGTTCAACTAATGTCCACTATACACTATTGGGGATGCATCATGAGATGGGTGACTAAAGACATGTTGATCTGCTAAATTTTGTTCCTACACATACTTAAAACTTATCCAGGGCAGGCACTAGACATTTTGCTACTTAATGCAATCTTTGTAGGTCCTAAATTCTGCTTTCAAATACCTCTCTAAATTCTACTAATTTTGCCATCCCTAAATTCTGTGTCTCGGTACTTTCCCTAAATTCTGAATACTTTGCTATCCTTTAACTTTGCTGCTCATTGATCCTCTAAATTAAAAAAAAAATTGCTGCTTCTACAATCTGCTATCCTGTGAGCTGCACTGGCTCATAAACTGGCCATGAGCTTATCTAAATAACAAATCAGCTATTCTTAATACACTAAAGCACTTAATACAAACAGCGCTACTCTTTTGCATAACGAAAGAATCTACACATTCAACATTTCATAGTTCAGTTAGCTGAAGTCTGTAATCATCGCGAGGCGTAATGTCAGCATAAATGGTTACCATGCTCCTTGGTATTCAATTACTAAACAAAAAAAAAAAAAAAAAAAAAAAAAAGTTTATACATCGCTGCATGAATCATTTCTCAAACTACCATTTGTTGAGAGTCATGCGATGATGAAAACAAAAAATATGCATGCATGAAATATTACACATACAAAACATTTTTTCTTTTAACACGTTGAGCGCCACGTCAGCCATCTGTGGCTGACACTAGACTTTCCGTTTAGGCTGCGTCAGCCAGAAACGGAAAGTCTAGTGACACTAGACTTTCTGTTTAGGCCGTATCAGCCATGTGTGGCTGACACTAGACTTTCCATTTAGGCCGCCATTTTCGGGTCATGCCATTTCCAACAATCTCCTCCTTGTGATCAGAAGATGATAAAAATATATCCTCTCCGGGCAGTTTTCTAGCAAGAATAATTTCACTGCTGCTATCGGTTTCACACTCTCAAACTGACATTTTGATGCTCAGGGAAAATTTTTGTCTGCACATGGCCAAGAACTGCAATGAACTGGTTTGTTGTAAAGGGAACACTGGCCACAGATCTATTTCGATAAAATGTTATCTAGTTGGTCAAACAAAGAAAACAGATTTGGCGCATAACGTGTTGAATGAATGCCTATAGGAATCACATTCCAAACGTAAACTATCTTCTACTACTATAAAAATCACTGGCCCTACAATACCAGCGCTTTTAAGTGGGGCATAGATGATTCCAGATTTCAGACTTTGTACTATATAGTAAAATGTGGATTTCATAATCAGTAAAATACATTACTTATTTTTTAAGCAAAAAAGAATGCCACTACTATTCACATATTCCTGGTTACATAATGTATAAATATCACTCTGTCAAAGAAAGACCCATAACCATGCATTTTATGTAAGGCACTGCCAATGTTCAGACGCATCTGAGTTTATTTCTATCAAAAACATGCTTTAAATATTAAAAAATTATATACTAATAATCTGAATTTAGAAAATTTTAAATTCATTATGGAAAAAATTCTAAACTGAAAGCAAATCTTATGATCTGACATTTAATTAAAGGCAAGTGATAAACCACATATGTGTTAAAAAATATTTTTCTTTGAAAATCACTTCAATATAAAAAAAATTAGTTTAATACAATATGTAGCTCAATACATAATTTTTAAATTATGTGGAAATGCACTTATTTAGGGAATGAAATAAAAATTTAATTCAACTCAACTTTTTTAACTGTCTGAATGCCATGACTGGCTATATTCGATCATGAGTTTTTATCACTTGTTACATATTAAAGATGTTTTACTTTCTTTAATAATATAAATATCATCTTAATGAATGTAAGTTTACTAAAACAGAGACTAAGATAAACAAATACACAAACTTGGCTAATAAGAGCTGTTTAAATACACTGTATGCTTATTGTAACATTTGGATTTAACCCATTCCCACAAAAACATTTACTGTGCAGATTTAAGTCTATCCTAATCTATGGCCAAGATCAAAACTAAATATCTTATTGTGGATATGGTTCACTCTGCCTCACTGTTGAGATAAAATGCATTTTAATTTGGAAGCTCTTTATAACATATTTATATAAAAACACTTAAGAAATAAAGCTGTCTCTCATTTAAAATATTATTTTATTCATTATGTTCCAAGCAGATTCAGAAAATATTTTTTTTCTTACTGAAGGACAAATAATTAGACCATAAGGACCTTCTTCACGTAAAAATGGCAACTTCTTTTCTTGTTCCATAGCAAACATTATAATTGGAAGAACAAATACTAATGTTTTTCCAGAACCAGTGAAGGCAATTCCAATCATATCTCGTCCAGAAAGACTGAAAAAGAAAAAGAAACCCTTGAAATTTTTTTTTGCATGACTAAAGTTATTAGGATGTTTGGTGCAAATATAGATATTTTTTAATTTACTTTTATCAGAATCACAAAAGGTTCACACATGAGATTTGATACTAAGCATATGTAAACACAATCCTTATTAATATCATTTTATCATCTCTCTGACATGTGACACTTGCCAAGAATTGCATTCAACTGGTGTTCAGTTTATTTATGACTTCAAATGCATATGAATTGAGAGGTAAGCTTCAAAGGCTTAACAATTATAACTATTAATTAATTATTATTATGCAAATTATAAAAATCATTAACACTATAGCTTCCCTTAAAATTAATTATACTTTTGTAAACCTTCCTCTCTTTCATAAATTTATTGTCTACACTACTTATTTGATAGGTATGTGGTCTGCCTGTCTTTATGAATTTATTAATGAGGCCCTCAGGTATGACAGGTTGAAAATCTCTATTGTAATATATACTATGGAGCTTTTTTTTATTATTATTATTTAGAAATACTGTCGAAATCTAAAAGTGAAAAATCAGAATAATAAGCATGTTAAGTCCACACAGAAATCCTTTCTTCAATCAACCACTATTCAACTAATTGATGAATAAAAGACTTTGTATTGTCCTTTAAGTGCCTATTCTATTTACAACATATAGCAACACACCAACTTGGTAAAACATGTAGCAGACAAGCATGGTACAATGGACAATTTATAGTGGTTCTTGTGAGATATAATCAAACAAAAGCATTTTCATCAAAATCAGTAGTGATAAACAACACTTTTTAAGATGCATAAACATTCTGAACTAAATTGTCTGGTGACTGTTCATAGCATGCAAGTAAACACTGAACTTATTCCAGTTAGGTTGCTCAGAAGTTGGTGGTAGAGGAACAGAGATATCAGGTCACTGGATTCCAGCCTAGAGGTCCCTCTTTCAAATGTGGGATGAAGCTTAAGCAGACAGCTATTACATGTTTCATTTAAATTAAATAATTTAATGCAATCTAAACTTGCTATGCTGCATATAAAAGAGACCCAAATTTCATTAAATGAAAGAATCCTTATAAAAGAAACTGGATATTTAGATTATTGAATTAAAATTGATTTTATTATAGTCAGGTAACACACCATCACTTTCCAAGAAATTTATTCATTTATAAATCATTTGTTAAAATAGGCCAAATGCTTGATTAAAGAATCTCAAGTACAGGGAAAGCAAGCTTTTTTCCAATATTGTGCTTCATCCATTCCAAGTCTAGCTCTATTTACTCCAATCTCAAATTATGATCTGAAACATCATCATCATCAACATTTTACATGAAATTTTTGTTTGTTGATTATTTCATATGCATGACTAATGCTTTCTTCAGTTCACTTTCAGCTACATTAGCACTTCAATCTAATAACTTTGCAAGCTTCAAAATAACATGCTCCTAACGTCACTATCTGGACAAATTAAGTTTTCTTAAAATGGTTAAATTTAACGATTTGATACACTAAAATTAAGCTTATATTTCATATTACACATATGAAAAATAAAGTTTGCATCAACGAACCTGGTGTGTGTATATCTTTATATATATATATATGTCATAACAAGAGCAAATCAAAAGACGGAACACTGTAGATGCATGATTAGACCCATATTGAAGAAGATTTTGATTGCATAGTATGCTAGTAATGCTAACTTGGTAATTTCTAAAGAACTTGGCAGTCGAGGCAGTTTTAATTCCATTTTTATTTGCAATTGATATTTGTGGTCACAATCACTTGGCACTCTAGTCGAGTCTTTCCACAGAAGATTTACATTTTTGATATTGTTGAGATAGAAAGCAAGCCAGAGAAATTACATCTTAGCACAGTCGAGAGGAAAAGCTGAAGTGCGTAGTTATGAAAGATGGAAGCACGGCAAAGAAAAAAGTTTTGGTTTACAAAGGCAGCTTCAGTTCCCAATTATTACGTCATCAGAGCTGCGCGGGCCATAGAGTGATCTAGAAATGACGCAGTGCAGAGAAGTTATTACGATTTTAGAATAGAGAGGAAGAATTAATGTTTATAGTTATAATTCTGATTCATATATTTTTATCTTACATATATATATGATAAAATACACAATATAAATTACTTAAGATAAAATTACTCAATGTTACTAGTGACAGATTTATGGACAAATACAAAAAGTGTTCTACATTGCTTTTCTTTCTTTTTCCCAGTATTCAATGTTTGTCATAATTATAATTTAATATCTATAATAAATTATCTTTATTTATATGCAAGGTTTTTGTGAAAGGGTCCAATTGAATTACTTTTGTTTATTTTGCAAAATTATTTTACATTTACTATCTTTCATTTTAAATAAAATGTACTGTTCTTCTTCATACCTAAATCTGGCATAGTACTTATTTGACTAAGTAAAGGCAAAAAAGAAAAGATGAAGGTAAAATTCTATTAAAGTTAGCTATAAGAACTCATTAAATATCCAGATACTTATTTTAGAATTCATTTTTACTGTATTTTAATGCATTATAGTTATTTGAATTTATACTACATTTTAAAATACACATTAAAATAATATATGATAGACAGCTCTGCTTACACAGCAGGTAAACCTTGCATCTGAATTGGGGTAGGTTTCGTAATTCCCTTTTTCTTTAAACCTTGTAGGATAGCTCGAGGAAAATACATTTCCTGAAATGAAATCAAAAATTGTATTTCTGTAACTATAATTAAAGTGCTTATTTTATTATACACAATAATAGCGGGCTGCAGCCAAAGCAAAATTTATAAGTTCAATGTACCCCTGAAAAGCAAATGTACAAAACCATTTCAATATGAATGAAATCAGTTCATTCTTTCCAAACAACAACTAATTCGTAAACAATTTTTTTATTGCCAAACCAGGAAATAAAAACTTTTGATACTTCAGGTTTATAGGTATAACATCATGATCTAAATTTAATGTACATAACATTTTCTCAATATTAATAAAAGAATTAACATGGCAATAACACAGCATGTCAATTATACTAACCTGAAACAAAAAATGTTGCAAACAGCAGCTATTTATATAAAATGCTGACATTACTGAAAATTTTTTGGCATACATATGTAATTGCGTGCTTTCTTCAACATCAGAATATGACCGTATATGATAATGATATGTTTGATGCTTAGCAATGCTATGAAATTTTTGCAATTTTTTTCACTGCGTGCAGATAATCAGAAAATACCAGAAAAACATTTACTGCGGAAGAGACATGTAAGAGAAAGAAATACATAAATGTTCTACTTTGTAAGGGTTTTTACATACTTTACATTTCTATATGAAAATTAAGGACTTGTAAGAACATTTATGGACCATCAATGAAAAATAGGGCCTAGAAACAGAACTTAACAAATTTAAACAATTTTCTATTCAACCGCTTTTATTCTTGTAATATCAAATTTCTTTAAAGTTTTTTAACCACATTAATTTATGAGCATAACTGCTTGTAACAATTATATTTTACACATAAAACTATCGCACATATCTTAAAACAGATTTACAAAATCGGTATTAAAAATTTCTTTATTTTAAAAAATATTTGGGGGAGTGGGCAGAACAGCACTACTGACCAGCACAGCCTCATGAAATTCTGTAATTTAAAGTAACCGAAAATTACAATTATAATTAATAAATTATACACTGGTTTCGAAAGACATTACAAGAATTATACATTAAAAGATATAAAACATTCATATCATTACAAAAGATTTGTGTTTATTAAATTTGAGTTTAGCTTATTTATATTTACTTCCCTCTTTTTAACTACTGTCCTAAGTTTATTTTCTTCAATAAACAAATCAGCATTACCATTAGTCTTTGCATCACTGTCTAAAGTATCAGCTAATTTGTTAATATCTTCTTTGCGTTATGTAACTAATGTTTTCTTCAATAATTTTTTTTCATCTTTAAATTTTCCGATTTAATTAAAAACTTTTGTTTATCTAAAAAACTGCATGTATCTAAAACTTGCTAACTTGCTAATCTTACTTCTTTAGTAATTTCAATTCTAAGAATAACTCCAGAAAACTTTATATAATATGCATCCAGATACATAAGGCAAATCTCTTGCATTTTCAACATGTTTATTAACAGAGAAATTCCTTAAAAACCTTTCCCAATATCAATTTTCAATATATTTATTAACAGAAAAATTCTTTCCCACAGGTGCCTGTCCATATGATAAGAACAGACTAATTCTTGCACTTTTCTGAACATTTGAATAGTGAAAATTGCAACAATAAAAGATGAAAAAACAAAGGAAATAGAATTATACCAAGAGAAAAACATCTGGTATCAATAGTAGAAAAGATAATAAGTAAATGTAGTAGAAAAGGTAATAAGTAGATAAAAAGTAGATGTCTTTACTATTACGGCCTGTGTTATTTAAAAGGCAGGTAGAACCCGATAATTAATTAACAGTGCCCACGAGGAAAGCCTACTTGGAGCTCATCAGAAACCATATGCCCAACAAACAGTCCTAACCACAGTAACTTGCAAACAGTCCTAACCTGCCAGATATGAGAAAATCTCAGAGTAGAATTGCCATTTTGTCACAGACCATTTAACACATGGAGTATTGATATCATTTAAGTAAAATTCAGGTAACTTTGTTTTCACTGCTTTTTCCAAAAATTCTCTAAGCCATAAGAACAATTCATCACAATCTAACTAAAAAACACATCTATACTGTATTAATACCATTAATTTTTTTTTCATTTTGTCATGGGCTTTTTCTCCATTAAAATACTTGCCACTTTCAAAAGAACAAAAATCAGAAGATTTTTTGAAGAAAAGAAATTTAGAAAAATGCATAAAATGACTTTTACAAAGACTAAAGATATATCTGAATGTTTTAAGGGAATTACACGAGGAAAAAAACAGTTAGCATAAAAAATTATATAGATGAAATTAGTTTCTACAAAATTAGAGTAGCATTTTTGCTTTTGCTAAAAATTAATTCAGAAATTCTGTTTTATAACATTTATTATTCTTATTCAAATGTCAGAATCATGATACTCAAAAATCACTAAAATAGATGGTAAAAACATTTTAAAACATAACAGATGGATATAAAAAAATTGCATTTTAATATTTTTCTCAAAAATGTAAATTGAATATGCTGTCATTATTTTAACAATTCTGCAATAATGGATTATATTTATTAAAAAATTGTCATCAAATTTACAGATATTGAATAAACATTTGATGTGCTGAATAAAAACTGAAATTCTGATAAATCCTCAAACTTGGCAAGGCACAATGAAGAATTCACACTTGGGATTCACAGAAAAGGGAAAAAGTTTTAGTGCAATGAAGGGGAATGAACTGAAACAGTAATCTTAAAGCCTATAACAGGTGGAACAGATGGAAAATGTCTGCAATTTAAGTGCAAATATTGTGGCAAATCGAAAATGCACAATTTTTAGCACTTTTGCAAAAAGACTGCAAAATTCATAATTAATTCATTCTGCATGTAAGATCTTAAAAACTTGAACAAGTTTCATAAAAAATGCAAAAATTTTATGAAAACTAGCAGGTATGCATTAATCGAGTTCCATAAATTTTACTACTAGAGTTCAATGACAAAAACTGCTTCAACAGCTATTCACTATCGCCACATTAAAAAAAAAAAAAAAAAAAAAAAAAAAAAAAAACGGGGGGGGGGGAGAAAAGGTTCCTCCACAATGGAATGTTCTAGATCAGGGATTCTCAGACTTTTAAAATCTTGTACCATATTAATAAGAATCAATGGTACTTATGTTTATCTAGTCAAGAACGAAACTGTCGTCAAGCAGTGTGATTTAGCATCTCTTACGGATAAGCATGATGTTAACAACATGCTCATAACATCTGCACTGCTGTTTGATGCAACCCTGATAGATTCTTGATAAACCACTATTTGATTTTAGGAATAAGAATATAACTATTATTGCTAACTAATAACTATTATTGTTCTATTTTTCCTCTTCCGTTACAAAAAAAAAAAAAAAAAAAAAGGAATAATATTTAGATCTGCATTTAACAAACAGAAAGCAATGGAAATTGGAAATTATGGGAAAAAGAAGTACGTATTAATGGACACGATATGTCCATCATCTCAATATGGCCAACAAAACTGTAATAAAATGGAACAATTACTTGCGGGAAGCCTATACTCGCAACATGCTAAAGAGAACTTCTGGTAAAATCAGAGGGCCTAACAAAATAGAAGAACGAACTGAAAGCTCTTTTTATGAAGCACAAAAAGGAAGTGGGTTGAATACTGATTGTTTATTAAATGAAGTGTCACTTCCTTCAGAATTTGACAGGAATGATTTGTACAACTTTGGTGGGATCTATCTTACCTTTATGATTCTATAGTAGATAACTTTAAGAACTGATCGGATACTATGTCAGTATTGAATCAAATATATATATATGCCATCATAAAAGCATTTTCTGGTTAAGTATCAAAGCACCCTTAACAGAGCATTGTAAAAACTACCATAAAAAGTAATGTAATGTACCATAGTTTGATGGAACCCCACTGTTCATAGTGTCACTACTCAGCAAAAAAATCGGGCCTTCCCAAATTTAAAATATTCCATTTCCAGCAGATTTTTTTCTTATATCTTCACCCTTTTTGAGTGCACTATCAATGTCTTTTGTCCATACCCTTCAAGAACTTCTGAATTCATTGATAGCAATGGGTGGAAGCACAAATTTTATGAAGTTTAACCTTTGACTTCCTTCAGAAGGCCATGTTTGTTCACAGTAAGTCGATTTTTCAAGCAGGCAGACAGTACTCTTGTTGACAATATCTGTTTTGAAATATTGGTGAGCAACCAATTGGGAAACTCAAAACTTTCATTCTAGGGTTGCTGATCGTTCCTCCTTGTTTGTAATGTCAATTTGTGATGGCTCTGATATGAGAAATGTAATTTCAATTCTGTAAAGCACCCTTAACAGAGCATTGTTAAAACTACTATAAAAAGTAATGTAATGTACCATAGTTTGATGGAACCCCACTGTTCATAGTGTCACTACTCAGCAAAAAAATCGGGCCTTCCCAAATTTAAAATATTTCATTTCCAGCAGATTTTTTTCTTATATCTTCACCCTTTTTGAGTGCACTATCAATGTCTTTTGTCCATACCCTTCAAGAACTTCTGAATTCATTGATAGCAATGGGTGGAAGCACAAATTTTATGAAGTTTAACCTTTGACTTCCTTCAGAAGGCCATGTTTGTTCACAGTAAGTCGATTTTTCAAGCAGGCAGACAGTACTCTTGTTGACAATATCTGTTTTGAAATATTGGTGAGCAACCAATTGGGAAACTCAAAACTTTCATTCTAGGGTTGCTGATCGTCCCTCCTTGTTTGTAATGTCAATTTGTGATGGCTCTGATATGAGAAATGTAATTTCAATTCTATATTCACCCAAAATGCTAATTCACACTCAGAAAAGGGATGGAAATATCAAATAAGGGAAATTAGGAACAGTTTTCAAACTTTGGCTAAAGTTAATGACTTTTAACCCTCCAAGTGGCCACTGTATATGTATATGTGTGTGTGTTCAATAATATTTGTCATGACAAATTTAAGTACACACACACATCTTAAAATGTGTCCAGACAGTTAAAGCAAGTACAAATACTGGAAGAAAAAGTATCAAAATGCAAAGCTGGAGGGTCATTTTGGAATCAAAATCAAGAAAATTTCATTTACTGACAATGTTTTGGGGAAGTTCAGGAAATGGGGATTAAACCTTATCCACCAGGCATATTAAGAATCAAAAATCATTTCCAAAAAGCCTAAGGTATTTTCTACACCAACCCTGTTCTGTGCAGGCTACAAATGAGGTTATAATTTCTTTAATAATCAAACCTTTAACAATAGAAGAAAATTTTGAAAAATACTTTCCACTGTTAAACACTGAACAATTTTATTGGATAAACAATCTATTTGTTTCTTCCTACTTCTCCAGTTCTACTCTGAATGAAGAACTGACGTCACTCTCTTGAGATCACTGAAGTTTATTGAAAACACTTCTGAAAAATTCTAGATGTATGTTAAAGATAAATATTTGGATCTGCATAAAAGGCATTACACATTATTATTTTTCCTGCCATATCTTTGTGAGGCAGAATTTTCAATGATGGTTAATATTAGAACAAGTAAACACGTGAGTCTGAGAAATTTAGAAGAGAAGATCATTTTTTTCATCTCAATACTGCTGAAATCTGCAAAGATCACCAAGCTCACACATTTCATTAAGTCTGAAATTTTTTAGAAAGTAAATCTGTTCAGACCAATCAATATTGGCAATTTATTCTTTCATAAAAGTAACAATATGAAGCAGTATCAATTTGAAGTAAACAAGTTGGGCCAACCCCATACCCATAATGCATCTGCAACACTATTCTGGTTCCCCCCTTCAATAATGGAGTTATTTTTGTGCCCCCCTTTTTTTCATTGTATCCTTTATTTCAAAGAGATTAATCACCCCAGCTTTTAAGGCTTATGCTGTAAGTGTTCTGCAAAACAAAAATGCCAGAGTTTAGAGTTTCCCAACATAAAAAAGATTAAAAACCAAGGCTCTATTGAACTTACTCATAAAATCAATGGTAACTGATACAGGCTTTACTCTCTCTTAGTCACTATATAACTGTAAACATTTGTCCCAAAGCTACATCAAAACATTACTGCTAGTATAGAAGAAGTAGGCATCAAGTCCCTGAAGCCATATCATGATGGGTTATTAAACATTAATGTCAGTTGTGAACTGCTTCCTAACCACACGTTTCTTAAAATGTTCAAAAGAAAAAAAAAAAAAAAAAGAAAAAAGAAAGAAAAAAAAAAAAAAAATGATTAGCAGATGCAGATTGGAGGGGGGGGTGATACAATATCAATTAGTGAAAGTGCTGAAATAAATCATGCATAACGTTGACTAGTATAGCAATAAAACGTTTCTGAAAGAAGTCCTACTCTTTTCTGGGAACTGTAATATGCCGCTATCCCAGTGTTTTAAAATATATGACAATATTCACTTTCATTCCATGAGTGAGAAAATCAACTAGCAGCACACTTAACTAGTCTCAAATGACAATCACTATAACATTTTTCATAAATGAAGTTGTATGAATTCCTTGGAAGGATATGAAAAAGCATGTTTCAATGACATGGATGTTTGCTTCATATCAGGTATCACATGAAGCACTCATATTCTATAACAATGTAGTGAAGGAACACTTTATTGTAACATGGAATGAAGAAAACTTTTCTCATTAAAGTACACTAAGTAGAAAGACAGTCCTATTCTCACAGTTTTAAGATTATCTGTGAGCGGTTTAGGAGTTCAGCAAGAAAACGTCTTCCAACAGCCCAGTTACTCAAGATTGATACAATGCCTACTAAAATATTGAATTCCTTAGCAATATCACTAAGAAGAATGTGGCAAAACTATCTTGATCAGAGCATCAACAAGATGGATGTGCTTGGCTGATCATGATTCATCTTGCACATCTGTTTTACCTCTATCAAACTCTGTGTACCAAACAAAAACTTGTTTACGATATTAGACATTAGCTCTATACAGTTTCACAAGTTGGCAATGAATTTCTGCTAGTGAGATCTGTTTTAGATGTAAAAATCTTATCACACTTCCACATTTGAGCACAATATCACTAATGTCATTACAACTGATAAGTCTGTAATCATTTGCTACTCCCTAGCCAGGAAATTTAAATAAAAGGAATATTATTACAACTACGAAAACTCATTACCTTAATTTTTAAATTACCCTTAAATTATTCCATCACTATTACCTTATGGAAGGTTTTACACTTATGTAATAGAGAAAAGAAATTTCAAAACATAGTCAGATTCTTTGGTGGTCATACTATTTGGTAACATTAATTAGTACTTGTCTTCTGCAGCAGCCTTGGTGATGGCAAGCTGAAATCTGCTCTTTTTGTCATGCCGTTTCGTTGATCCCCAAAGGCATTTTATTTTATGAGTATGATATGTTGTAACATTCCACTGCCAAATGTTTATTTTCCAACATATAATTCCATACCATGCCCATTTTCCCATAAAAATAGAAAATTTTCACAAGCTGAAGAAATTTGAAGTATGAGCACACAAAAAGAATTATTATATTTTAAAACTGAAGGTAGAACAAATGCATATGCGCACATCGGTAACAGTTGGAAAACTGGTATATTATAAATTCAAAAATTTCAACTAGCCAGAAAAAAAAAAAAAAAAAAAAAAAGAAGAAGAAGAAGAAGAAGAACTCGGAACACAAACAAAAAAAAAAAATCTTAATATTTTAAAATCGATGCTAGAAGAAAGATTTATTTGCTGATTGGTGACTATAAGCATTTTTTTCTTTACAGTGCCGAAAAGTGCCAAATCAACGTTCTTGCCAAGGGTGCTGTCCCACGAATTTTCTTTAAATCACGTAAATTGGCAAAGACAAAAATTCAAATGCAATTGAAATTCACCAGAATTTACATAATAGCAGTTAATGTAAGTACCTTTTGTGACAGTTTACCACAATAAAAAAGTCGTGAAACAACTTTCTGCTAACATAACTATAACATTTTACTTACACTTCAGCATAATTATACATATGATGTAATCTATTAGAAAAAGCACTAAATACACATAGGCATAATAAATATTTTTATGTATATAATATGCAAGCAATTTTAATTCACTTTATGCACTAAATTTAGCAAACATAATTTTCATCTGAATATTTAAAAAAGCATATGAAAACTGCTTAATAGACATTAATATCATACTCAAAATACCATGAAAATTGGAATGGTTATGTATTATATAAAACATTAATAAATAGTTTAAAATGTCAGTTTGATTCCAGTTTTAACTTACTTTGAAAGTTTTTATAGGAGGAGCAATGTCTTCTCCTTCAACAAGTATTCTGTTTCTTCGACGAACTCGTTCATGACGTTTTTCAGACATTTCCAGTATATAACGAGGTGGCCGCCATCTATAAAAATAAAACATCAAAAAACTTTTTTCAAGATGACATGCTTTTTAAAATACAATCTAAATAGCATAAATGTAGCATATTCAATAACTATATCATTATTTATTTTTATTCTTTTGGTTTTTTATAAAAGAAAAAATTACTTAATTACATAATGCATTAAATTATAAAAACAGCACAATAACACTTTTTTTAAGCAGTTAAGATTTAAATTTCCAAACTGAGAGAAAAAGTGATATTTTGGTACCAAATGTGCAACATTTTGTTTTTTCTTAAGATAATTTAAGTGCATATGAACAGAAATCACAACATCGCATAAAGGTTTTATATTTTTTCTATATTCAAAATTAAACTTTTAGATTACACTACTGATAAAAAATAGTAACTAAATTTAGGTAACTACCCTATATTTCCAAATATAAGCCAAGAGTGCATTTTGTTTTTCAAAAAGGGGTGGGGAAGGGGACGTCGCGGCACGCAATGAACTGGAAGTTGATCTGTCAGCACTATCCTCATCTTAAGGGCAGATGTTTTTATTTTATTCCGCTTATAATTCCTTACTAAATGTAGTATTTCATCTCGATGTACTCCAATAGATTTCATCTCGATGTAATTTGATTTAAATCATATCAAAGACGGAGGTCTTTGATATGATTTAAATCAAATTCCTCGTCATTATAAATATCACAAATACACATGAAATAGTTTTCTGGTTGCAATTTTCTAATTTCGACTATGCGTAACGTATGCTTTACGCATGCACGCATTGAAAGAAATGTTTAATATTAAGCTTCTTTTAGATTATAATTGCTCTTCATTTCATAAATTAAGGTTTCATATTTTTAATTTTATAATTTCTGCATGCCATCTTACCAGATTTAAACTGATGATCTATAATCCGGAAAAACCCCTAATCTGGAATCGCCGAAGTTCAGATTAAAGACTTTGTACTATATATATTTAATGTTCTTATAATTTCAGCTGAAGTGAGTTAGACTTAATGATATTTCTGTTTAATATATAATTTTTTTCTTACATGAATTTAAGGTTTTAGAAATTTTATTTATTAATAAAAAAATTCATTAGAATGTCATGAAATGATACTAGAAAATAAGCATATGCAATTTTACCCTGTTTTGATTGGTTCTTGGTACTGTATTCCTTTAGCCAATTCAGCAACACCCATCAGAGCTGCAAGAAAATTCAAAGAAAGTCAATACAAAATTAAACAGTTCCCCCCCCCCCCACATACACACACAAATTACGGATTTGATGGCCGTGGTTAAAAGTTAATGATTTGCAACTGGAATTAAGATCACAATTTAATAGTATTTACGGACAAATTAAAATTACTGTCACATTCATATTTCAACATGTAACAGACATATCCACCTTGGTTTTTACCCCAAATGGATTATCAGTCTTGAAACGGCATAAACCACTATAAACAGCTGTAGCACTTTTCAAATTTTTGCTGCCAAACATCATCACCTTGTACTATTTTTTTTTTTTAAATAGTACCTAGAGCCATCAAAATTTGAATAGCATAAACCTTCACCTGAACCTGGAAGCTTGGATTCTGAATTTTATATTCAATATTTTGTTAAAACTTTAATCAATTTTTCATGAAAAAACTCAACAATTTAAAAGCAAGCAGTGATAACACTGTATGGAATAAAACATTTTATTTTCAGCAAGCAAGAGTATCTATTGGAAATTCTAAAGATATGCTATTTTTAAATATCGGTGATTCTGCTGCTGTTGAATTGAATTTCATGTGGCATAAGAGCAAAGAACGATATTTAATTAATAAAGTTAATACATAAAATGTTAAATAATAAAAAGAATTTTGCAGCTGAATGTGAAGTGGCAGAAGTGCGAAGAAAACTATGCTTAATAATAAAGCTAAAAAGATGAAAAGAAATAGGTTAGCAGAAGTGAGAGCAGCAGTAGACTGATAGACTGCAAGCTCAGTAACAGCATAAAAAAAACCTTAACAAATTCTTTTGGGACACACAAACTAGAGCCATCAAAATTTGAAAACATAAACTTTCACCCGAACCTGTGCAACCGGAAGCCCGAATTTTGAATTTTATATTCCATATTTTATAAAACTTTAATGACTTTCTGAAGAACAAACTCAACAATTTGAAAGCAAACAGTGATAACATTATATGGAATAAAACATTTTTATTTTCAGTGAGTGAGAGTATTGGAAATTCTACAGATATGCTATTTTTAAATATTGGTGATTCTGCTGTTGAATTGAATTTTATGTGGCATGTACAAAGAACATGATATTTACAATAATTAATAAAGTTAATACATAAAATGTTAATTAATAAAAAGAATTTTGCTGCTGAATTGTATGTGGCAGAAGTGTGAAGAAAACTATGCTTAATAATAAAGCTATAAAGACAAAAACAAACAGGTTAGCAGGAGTAAGTGCAACAGCAAACTGATAGACTCCAAACTCAGCGACAGCATAAAAGAAACCTTAACAAATTCTTTTAGGACACTGTTAATCTGAACTTTTTCAGACATTTTTTTTAATTATATTTTTTCACACAATATTGATATTTATTTTCATATTTTGGAAACACCAACCATAGAAATTTATTACCTCTTTTTTCAGCAACACTTTCCAGTATCTTTTCTTCTTCTTTCAATTGCTTTTCAAGAGCACTTTCTTTACGAGCTGCAATATAAAGTTAGCATTAAGATAATGCAAATATCAAGACAAATATGCATAATTCATGTATCCAGATGTGCATGTATCATTATACCTTCAGCCTTTTTCTTTAATTCATTATGTTGATCCAGAAGGCTAACATTCGATTTTCTACCAAAGTCATCTTCAAGTTCATCATTTTCGTTATCTGTACTACTTCTATATTTTTCTTTTTCTTTAAGAATAGCTCCTAAGCGTCCAAGCCTTTGAAGCTGGAAGTAAATCAGGAAATCAATTACCATAAAATAATAATGATTCTTACATTCTATAATTAAATGGCTTTGAAGGTTGCACACAGCTTGTTCATGTTTTAGTAACTACAATGTAGTCATAAATTAATCAGTTAAAATAATATACAAAATATAAAATGGTAATCAGCATAATCTCAAGTTAATTTTAATTTTATTTGTAAGTTTTTAATATAAAAGCAGTGTTCAATAAAATCTAAATGCTGGCAGTTATTATAATATATTTTGAAGTACTCAACTTTATCATCAATCTTGCACTGCAACAGTCTTATATTTAGATTTTTAAAGTGATCATTCACATCAATACAATTAAAATAAATATGATTATAGTTAACTAGATGGATAATATACTGAATATTATTTTATGTTCTCTTTTGAATCAAATCACCCATGAGGTGGCCAAGCGTGAAAGACTAATCCTAATGTAGCCTACATGTGTCATAAAAGATGTCTAAAATAGGTGCCCAGTGTCAGGGGGTATAACCAGGTACCCTTGCCCTGGGAATTATATCAGGGGACTGGTCCTCCAGGTTAGGTGTTCAGCATGAGTCTGACAACCTCACCCTGTAAAAATCCTATTGTTACAAAATTAAATGAAGAATTTTCTAGACCGTCTACGCGGAAGACACCTGGAGAGGACTTCTTGAGTAGGCAAGGGCCCATCCTGGGGTGTCAAGCCAAGGAAGAAGTAACTGAAATTATGTTACATTATTCTTTTTTTAATATGCAACAAATATACCACATTTAAGACATCAAGATACAGCGCAATTATTTATATTCTTCTCCCCACATTTTCTTTTTTAGATCATTATTTAGAAACTTACCATAGAAACATTCAAAGTATGGATAGATAACAAAGTATTTTGTTTGAGTAAAAAAAAAAATCGCACTGGAAGTAATAATTGCACCGAAGCTTTGAAATCCAGTGTATAATAATTAATAAATCTATTTGCGTGTACTTTAATAAATGACATTAAATATTAAATTTTTCTTTAAAACTGCCTTTAAAAACAGCACACTGAAAAATTTCTCCCTCTCGCTTCTCAAAGGATAAAATTAGCCCCCCCCCTCAAAAAAAGGGGGGGAGAGGAAAAATACATGCATAAGTATTTTTTTAATTATCTAAGCAAGGCAATATAGAGAAAGTGATACTGCTAGAAGGGTGTTTTTATGAGTTCTTAGGAAGTTGTTTTTATGAGTTCTTAGAAAGGTGTTTTCATGAGTTATATATATTAAATGATGAATCATAAAATTGAATGTTGAAATTTTTATGCAGTGAAGGTATCATAAGAACTATCAGAATAATCAAGAAATACTTGACAATTAAATATGGTAATATGCAGGAAACAATAAGCTCTGATGGCAGATAAGTGCACCAAACACTGAAGTATTATACGCTTAACCTATTGTATGCATTTGACCATTGAAGTATTGTATGCAAATAACCTCTAGCAGGTGACCTGGTTCAGTCAATGAAAAATAGCCAATGACATTTAAAACAAGTATTTAAAAAAAAGCCATACTCTTCAATAAATCCGAGATATCTCAATATATTGTGAAATCATAGAATACATTTATTTTAAGAACAGCAAAGCATTAAATACTATGTTCATGAATGGCTGTTCGGTGATATCTCTTGTATGCTCAGGCGGCAATCCCAAGCTGAAGCTGAAACTATGTTCATGAATAGATGTAAAATATTTGAAGTTCACAGAAGATATGCTGTTTTATGTACGTGAAGTATACTCAAATCCTGCTACGGCAAACCTGGTTTATAATGAACAAACATTTTGATCTCATCCAATTCCCTTCATGCTTAATATTATTTTATACGGTTATAGCTAACTCCCAAATATATGAAATTGGATACAGCAAAGTTCATGGATATCTTTGACTGAAATATTTGTTGTAATTTTCATAATTTTTCTAGAATTTTGGCAAGTTTTATCTGAAAAATTACTAAACTTTAAAATTATCTGTATTTAGGATATTCATGTTAGAACAGAGAGAAGTTCTTTTATGGTACAGTTCTTTTTATCTTCAAACCCACACTTCTCTTTGTTCTTAACAAAGGTCATGTGAGGAAGGTGTAGCATTTAATTCTTGCAAAAAACAGGCCATATCTTAGATATCTTACACCATATGGTATTTGTCCCCACTGACAAAAAGAGCATTAATGGGTTGTCTGATTCCATTGAAGTTCTTTGATTGAGCTGTAGATAGAGCTTTGTTCAAGGCTGTAATATGATGGAAATCTTAAAAACTTTTACACGTCAAGGGAAAAGGAAGTACTGAACATATTTTTATGAGCTTAGGTTGAGTGTATACAGGTTATTTTTTATTTATTTTTTTTAAAGAGGAATGGAAATTTTTTATTCTTATAGGTTTGTTTTGTTTCAATATTTAAAACACTGTTGAACAGGGTTTTTACATTCTTTAGATACAGTACAAAGTCTTTAATCCGGACGTCCATAATCTGGAATGATCTATAATCCGGACCTCAAAGCTACAGCTTTCTGCGCATTCTTAAACGCATAATACCTTTACGCATGCGCATATGAATTTACACATGTGCATATGCATTTACGCATGCGCGTTTAATGTATAACTGATAGTATAAGCTAGGCTAAAATTATCTAATTATCTATTTCAGTTAATGTTGCAGATTGCGTTGTTCCTTAATCTTTTAATTGGACCCGGCTTTTTATTTTTTGCAGACTGTTAGAGCAATTTTATAAAAAGTAAGCTTGAACTTTTGATTATGTCATGAAGAGTTTCCAATTCTGGAGTTGCCAAAGGATCTACAAAGCGAAAGCATGTTTCGATGTCCAACAAATAAAAAGTGGAATTGCTGCAAATGGATAAAGGCATATCCTTTGTTTCTCTAACCATTCCGAAATCTGTTTGTGAATTTAATGCTGCTTTGCGGGGAAGAAACGTCGCAGCGCACAATGAACTGGAAGTTGATCTGTCAGCACGTCGCAGATCCTCATCCTCATCTTCAAGGCAGATGTTTTTATTTTATTTGGCTTATAATTCCTTACTAAATGTAGTATTTCATCTCAATGCACTCCGTCTTTGATATGATTTAAATCAAATTCCTCATCATTATAAATATCACGAATACACATCAAATAGTTTTCTGGTTGCAATTTTCTAATTTCGACTATGCGTAATGTATGCTTTACACATGCGCACATTGAAAAAAATGTTTATTAAAGTAAACAAATAAATATTAAGCTTTTTTAAGATCATAATTGCTCTTTATTTCATAAATTACGGTTTCATATTTTTAATTTTATAATTTCTGCATGCCATCTTACCAGATTTAAATTGATGATCTATAATCCGGAATCACCAAAGTCCCAACGAGCCCGGATTAAAGACTTTGTACTGTATTTTTCAAGATATAAAGTATTCTTTATACAGCTAGTCGTTTTGCTTTGCAATCATACATATCTTGGGAAAAACAAATACATTCTCATTAAACACTGGGTGGGATAAATTAATAACAAAATTATCTTAAATTTTCCGTATTTTTTACAAGTGCAAAATACACAGTCCAGTCACATTAATGTGACCACCACGTACTTTCCATGTCAGAGTTAAATAACCAATCACAGAAGGCAGGTGGCAGCACAGTGCAGTTGAGCGTATATATAAAGGGTGTGTGAGGGCTTCGGAAAACACTTCAATCGCTGGCGTAATGCAGAAACGAAGCGATTTATCCGACTTCCAAAAGGGCATGATCATTGGCTTTCGGGCCAAGGGTGGAAGCATTTCCGAAACGGCTGAGTTTGTGAACCGTTCGCGTGCCGCCGTGGTAAAAGTGTACCGTGCATGGCAAAATGGGACTGTCCAAAATCAGCGACGTGGCAAATGTGGTGCACCACGGGCCATAGATGACAGAGGCGAACGACGGTTGCGGAGATGCGTTCGGGCAGATAGACGGGCTACCGTTGAGCAACTGACCACCAAAATGAACCAAGGGGCTACCAAAAGTGTCTCCCAAAGTACTATTTAGTGAACATTGCTGCGTCTGGGCCTCCGAAGCAGACGCCTGGTTCGTGCACCTATGCTGACTGCTGTTCATCGACGGCGAAGGCTAGAATTTGCACGCCAGTACAGCAGCTGGATGTCCACTGAGTGGCGACAGGTTGCGTTTTCGGATGAATCGCGTTTTATGCTCCATCGGACAGATGGACGTTGGCGTATAAGGCGTGAAACCTCTGAAAGGAACCACCCTGCAACCATTGCCGGAACAGTCCAAGCTGGAGGCAGGAGCATTATGGTCTGGGGAATGTTTTCCTGGCATTCTCTAGGTTCACTGATCATTGTGGAAGGCACAATGGATCAATACAAGTACGCATCTGTCCTTGCGGACCATGTTCACCCCTACATGCGCATTGTTTTTCCTCAGGATGATGGCATCTTCCAGCAGGACAATGCGAGGTGTCATACAGCTGCCAGTGTACGTGCGTGGTTCGAAGAGCACCAGGATGAGTTTTACCGTCCTCCCCTGGCCAGCAAACTCACCTGACTTAAACCCAATCGAGCATCTGTGGGACCATCTCGATCGAGTTGTTCGCGCCATGGATCCTCAACCGCGTAATCTAGCGCAGCTGGCCACGGCATTAGAGTCGGCATGGCTCAACATCCCAGAGAACACCTTCAGGGACCTATGTGACTCTCTTCCTGCACGTCTCGCAGCAGTCCGCTCTGCGAAAGGTGGTTATTCTGGCTTTTGACAGATGGTCACATTAATGTGACTGGACTGTGTATCACATATTCTTTTATTTAACTCTCTTCACTCTGATATGTGAGAAAATTTTCGATGTTAAAAATTCATGTATATGATGAGAGGCAAACTTATAGTGTCCTGTATTGAAGGTAAAATGGGCATTATTCCAAAAAATAAAAAAAAGGATGCAAATTATAAATATAAATAAAGTTTGAATAAAGTTTATCCAAATCAATGGCAGCATGTGGAAAAATCAAGACTCAATAATTTCTACACATGGAAAAAATTTTGGATACAAGCGAAAAGTTAAAAAAGTAAAAAAAGCCAATTAAATAATAATGTTGAAGAAACATTGCTAAATGTTCACCATTCAAAGAAGCCATAATCTTTCATTATTTTGACAAATGCTAATTATAAATACAGTCAAAAGTCGTTAATACGGACTCGTCGGGTCTTCGGCGATTCCGGATTATAGATCATCAGTTTAAATCTCGTAAGATGGCATGCAGAAATTCTAAAATTAAAAATATGATTGGTAATTTATGAAATAAAGAACAATTATGATCTAAAGGATATCAAAATTTACAAAAAAAAAAAAAAAAAAAAAAAAAAAAAAGCTTAATATTTATTTGTTTACTTTATTAAACATTTCTTTCAATGTAAGTTGTTTAAGTTGCTTCGTTTTATGTGATAATACTTTCTCTTTAATTCTATAAACAGACATAATTTCTTGTTCAGTTACAAAGTTCCGCTGTTCAAGTCCCGTAATTGCTGTGTCGAGAATACTGACTAACTTGTCAATCGAAATTTTTTCGTTTTCACTAACCTCTCTGTCACATTCTTCATGTCTTTATCCATTTTTTGCAGCAATTCCACTTTTTGTTTGATGGACATCGAAACATACTTTCGTTTTGTACGATCCTTTGGGAGCTCCAGAATCGGAAATTCTATGTGACATAATCGAAAGTTCAAGTTTACTTTTATAAAATTGCTCTTACAGTCTGCAAAAAATAATAAGCCGGATCTAATTCGAAGATTAAGGAACAACGCAACCATCAACATTAACTGAAATAGATAATTTTAGCTTATACCGTCCGTTATACGTAAAACGCGCATGCGAGAACGTATTCTGCGCTTGCGCACACGCATATGCGCAGATGTAAAAGGTCTTACGCGCACGCGTAAACGCTTATGTGCATGTGTCAATGCGGCGGATGCGCAGAAAGTTTTTAGCTTTGAGGTCCGGATTATAGATCATTCCGGATTATGGGTGTCCGAATTAATGACTTTTGACTGTATGTATTTTAGATGAAGATGTGTAATTGGAGGGAGGGGGCTAAATCATGACTTTTATGCTAAAAAATTTATGATGTAAAATTATTATCATATATAGAAACTGAAAAACAATGAAAAAGAAATTTAGTAATTGCACATGATAATGACTTAAATTAACCCCTAATATAACTTTATTTTAAATTAGATTATTTATTCAACTCTTTTGGAAGATAAGATAATGTTAATCAGTGTTTTTCTTGAGCTTCATCAATAAAGTTTTACATTATTTTGTGAGATACACTTTTTGCTATCAGATTAGTTACAGCAAATAAAACTTTTGGTGTCTTAAAGTTTGTTCTGGTGGAGTTCGACTGTATGTGGTTTCCAATCACTTTTAATACTTTTGTACTGAATTTTAATGATAAAAGTAGAGGAATATCATATAGTGAAGTATTATTTCTGGGACAAGAAAAAGAAAGAGAACTAAGCTATTCCTCATTCAACAATGAAATGGCAGTGTTATCTATAGTGCAAGGTAAACAGTAAAGAAATGGAACAAAAGAATCTTACTTTATTTCCTCGGCTAACCACTTTTTCAACTTGGTTAATTTACTTGCATTACTTTCAATATATTACTTTATTTGAATAAAAATGCCTTACTATTTAAGAATGAAAAACAGAGAGTGAACAGTGAAAGTTATTATTTTTTTTTTTTTTTTTTTTTTTCTTTTTGATAGGAGTATTTCTCATATGGCATCTTTTTTTTTGGGGGGGGGGCATTGTCGTAACTGGCAATCTACTGAATTTTATTACTTAGTTATTACCTTTGTAATAGATAGTCCCACCTCTTTTCCCATTCATTTCATCACACAATTCGATGTGTCATCAGCCAATCAGACAGCCAATGAAAAATTCAGAACTCTCTTTCAAATTTGCGTGATCAGATTTATTATTATTTAATATTAATAATTTTTTATGTTTTGCAAAATATTTATTTCTTTTGCTGTGTTTTATAGTATAAATAAGAAAACTTTTAATATGTAAATAAAAGGGTAAAATATTTTTTTCTTTTTTAAAATTTGATTAGTTGATTTAAGTATTTCCATGAATTACTCAATATTAATATAACTGAAAGTCAGCTCCTAAATGTTATGGATATAGATTATATCAAGAATTTCATGCATATAGTAAATGAAAGAGGTAAGAGGTAAGACATAATACAACTGATTTTGTACTGCTATATTTATTTGTTTCAAAACTCATTTACAAACAATTTATTGTAAGCAGAGTGTTGAAAGAAGAGAGATAAACACTGTTAAGATAACAGTTATGTCATTTGCTTCTTATTTCAACTCTTTGTAATGTAAACATGAAATTTATCTGAGAGTAAATCGATAACAGATTTGAAGCCAGCGTTTTAAAAGCTCTTTGCAAATTCAGTGGAAAAATCACATATGAAAGAAATGATATAAACATTGCTTTTACAAACAAAAATAATTGTCTGAAAGAGACATGACAACATCTATTCTAAAACTAGTTAACTAACTAACGAAATTCGGTAGATCACCAACTGGGACAATAGAATATTTTTTAGTGTATACTGACAATACTGATCTTCGTTAGAATTTCAATACTCTTATTCTCTTTTTTCTGCTTTCATTGAAGAATTCAATCATATGAGAGATCATGACTTATAATATTTATCCCATTTTTTAAGTTTACTCTTTCCATTTACAGACTAAAAAGGATATTAATAATAACCTTATAATACAAAACAATCTACATTATGAAGACTGAAGAAATTCCATGTGAATCACTTATATATGTTCTTTAATAATAAATACTAAGCAAAAGCACAACAATCACCGCACTAATATCTAAAATTAAATGAGCATTATAGACTTGTGTACATTACTCTTTCAACATATATATACATTCAAAAGTCTTTAATCCGGACTCGTCGGGACTTCGGTGATTCTGGATTATAGATCATCAGTTTAAATCTGGTAAGATGGCATGCAGAAATTATAAAATTAAAAATATTAAACCGTAATTTATGAAATAAAGAACAATTATGATCTAAAGGGTATCAAAATTTACAAAAAAAAAAAAAAAAAAAAAAAAAAAAAAAAAAAGCTTAATATTTATTTGTTTACTTTATTAAACATTTCTTTCAATGCGCGCACGTGTAAAGCATACATTACGCATAGTCGAAATTAGAAAATTGCATCCGAAAACTATTTGATGTGCATTCGTGATATTTATAATGAATTTGATTTAAATCATATCAAAGACAGAATACATCGAGATGAAATACTACATTTAGTAATGAATTATAAGACGAATAAAATAAAAACATCTGCTCTGAAGATAAGGATAGTACTGACAGATCAACTTCCAGTTCATTGCGCGCCGCGACGTTCCCCTCCCCCGCAGAGCAGCGTGAAATTGATACACAGATTTTGGAATGGTTAGAGAAACAAAGGATATGCCTTTATCCATTTTTTGCAGCAATTCCACTTTTTGTTTGATGGACATCGAAACATGCTTCGGCTTTGTAGAATCTTTGGCAGCTCCAGCATCGAAATTCTATTTGACATAATCGAAAGTTCAAGCTTACTTTTATAAAATTGCTCTAACAGTCTGCAAAAAATAATAAAGCAGATACAATTCGAAGATTAAGAAACAACGCAATCTGCAGCATTAACTGAAATAGATAATTAGATAATTTGAGCTTAGCTTATACCGTCCTTTATGCATTAAACGCGCATCCATAAACATATTATGCGCATGCGTAAAGGTATTACACGCATGCATGAACGCATTATGAGTTGACGCACGCGCAGAAAGCTTTGAGGTCTGGATTACAGATCATTTCGGATTATGGGCGTCCGGATTAATGACTTTTGACTGTATATATATGCATCAAAAATATTTTTTCATCTCTAAATAAATTCTAAAATGAAGTGAACATTACCAAACCTTTTTGAATATTCTCTATGTATTAAACATATATTTTCATCTTACTTTTGCCTTCCTCCTCTCTTTTAATGGAATATATGGCTCATAATCGCTATCTTCACTTTCTTTTTCATCTTCTTCAATTCTGCGGCATTTCTGAAAATAGAAATAATCCTTGATTAATTAAATTTTGGATATATCTAATATCAAGGTATTGACATATTATCCCAACCACTGTAACAGAGAAGCTGTCAAATTTTCAAAATGTGTCAAGCTATGGCAACCATGTCCATAATATTCTAGACCAAAAAATTTATTTATTTACTTATTTTCCTCTTTTACTATGCCCCAGAAAAGCGGCCTATAATCTAGCTGTGTAAAATGAAAAAAAAGTTTTCGAATAAAAATATACCTTCCATTTGTGCACCATACTCAAAATTTTGTAAAATAGCAAAATTCTGCTGTTTTTCATTAATTTTTTATAATTACTAAACTCATTATAATCGAAATGCAGTTGTTTCTAATGTGAATTATGAGAAACATGAAAAAAGTTTAAAACCTGTAACTTCATATTATTTATTTCTTGCACAAAGAATACAGCTTTTTGTAAAAATAGTAATATTTCATAATTCCTGATAATTTTACTTTTTTTAGCAAACAAACAGTGAAAATATTTATCAATTACATTTTTTTTATTCAAAAGAGTGCATCTTAAAGTAGTTTTTTGAGAAAATACAGGCAATAATATATCTTGATAGAAGGGTCGTCCGAATCAAGCCGTCTCTTACGTTAGTGCCATACACCTCTTTAGATGCTTTGGTCACAAGTTTGATATACCCTTCTACAGCTTGACTGTGACAAGGGAAGCTTTGGAAATCCAACTGCAGAGATGACCCAGTCTTTAATAGATTTCTGATGTTGTCATCTATAATGTTCCTTAAAAGTGGAGAAAAAAAGATATTGCAGCTATCCCATGAAATGATGTTGATGTAGTCTGTTGCTTCAAAGTTGTGTTTTGGCATGATGAAGTATCACACAATACTTCCCTTGGAAAGCGGTTGAGCTTTCAACAACTGGTGTGGACCACATTCTCTGATAAGTCTTTATTCATTCACAATAATTGCAAAGATCAAGCTTTTGAACAAAGAAAGCATTCCACTGAATTAATGATTTGATGACTTGTAATACATTTTGAGTTAGATATCTTGATGTTCTGATGACTTAAGAATCTATTTTTAGACCATTTGCAAAAATTTTTGTTGGTTTAGGTTTTGAACCAGATAAGCATGCAACAATTCAAAATAAAATGTATCAACTGTGTAATTTTATGTTTATGTGTTTTTCCAAGCTTATAAAAAGTCTAGAAACTAGATTTAGTATCATTTCAAGTGTAAAAATAGACTGGTATCATGAGATGTTAAATCTTCTAAAAATTTACATAACTTTATAGCAGCAAGAATATTAAGTGAGTGTAACTGATCCTTGCTCAACACTGTGAAATTCAATTTGGTGGATAATACCATTTTTCAAACCAGTATTAATTACAGTTCCATTGCTTCCTAACATATGAAGTTTTTCAAGGGAAGTCTCATATGTAATCAAATTCAAAATCATATTTTTAGCTATATTTTGAGCAAGTCCTGTAAAGGGAGAAACATGGGCAATATGTTCTGATACTAGCATATTCTTGCTATGAAGGATGATGGTCCACTTTTTCAGTTCTTTAAAAACACTAATTCTTTTAATTAACATGAGTCATCTTTTTTTTTTTTTTTTTTTTTTTCAAAGTACAGACCACATAATGTTTCCTTAATAGATTGATTCTACAAATCATTTCTGTCTTACAAGTTTTCATCTTCTCACTTTGTTTCTGTCAATGACATGAGAATTATGTGAAATAGTTATCACATGCATAGTTACATAACATTCACAATGTTTACAATAATAGTTACATAATATTTGATAATTACAGTGACCATTGAAAAAGACTTGTAGCAAAAAATAATCAAATACTGCTATTTTTACAAAAAAATTGTGTTTTCTGAGCTCTTTTCACAAATGATAAACTTTATCATGTTCGTCATGCTTTAAAATTTACATTAGGACTTATAGCATTTCAACAGCAGTAAGTTTAATAACTATAAAAAAGTGACAAAAAACAGTAAAATTTCATCATTTTTTCATACTTTGAGTGCAATGGACAAAAAAAGATATAATTTTATTTGAAAAAAGCATTTTCACCCCTCAGCAAGGTGATAGATAACTTTTCCAAGATAAAAAGATTGAAAAAAAGAGTTTTGGTTAGAGTTGACTTTAGAGTACCCCTTGTATTATCGTGAAATTGTTGTTTCATTTATCGCCAAGTTGTCTCATTTACGACAACCTGAGTAGTTGAATGCTATGGAAACCCTATAATGACGTAATTGGTTGCGGTGAATTTGAATCATGGGAAAAAATTTGGAAAGTGGGTGTCGGATTTTGGGTAAGGGCTTGTGTGTGATGGATTAGTACGTTGCTATTTTGTGGTTTACACAGTAAATTGGCTGAATGTGGTAAGATTAATTTGAAGTTTCTGTAGAATTTGGAATGAAAGGGAAAAAAGCATTAATTGATTGGTGTGTAAATGAAGGTTTACTTAGTAGCCGTTATTAAGTGTCCTGTTTGGAGGAAGGAAATGCGTATAGTCGAACATCAGATATTTTTTACTCTTATTTTCGTGAATTTATGTGGCTACACCAGTATACAGATTCTAGTTCAGATAATTTTAGGAAGTGTTTGGATGCTCTTAAGGAATTGCGTTTGACTGAAGATCCGTAAATTCGTAAATAAGGTAAGTGGATATTTCCTTCGTGTTGTGTAAGATGAATTTCCTTTTTTATGTTATTTCATTGATTTAAAATGTAGTTTATTCAGATTATATATTTTTAATTGGCTGCTCCTTTGACTTTTTAAGTGAATATAGTTCGAGGTGTACATGGACAAAGTCAAGGGAGTGCACAAAGCCAAGTTTATGAAAGTCTCTGATTTTTTTTTTTTTTTTTAATGAAAATAGGTCGATGAGTGCATGGATAAAGTCAAGAGAGTGCACAATGCCATTTTTGTGCAATTCTGGGATTTTTTTTTAAGTGACAATAGGTCAATGTGTACATAGATACCAAGTTCGTGCAATTCTTTCTCTTGTTATTTTGGCTTTGTGTAGCTGCAAGTTTTGTCTTGCAAGCCAAAATAACAAGTCAAAGAACTGCACAAACTCGGTATCCATGTACCGCCAAAAATCGCCAAGGGGTACACCCTAAAATATACTTTTACCAAAGTTTTTTTTTTTTGGCCCACCATAACGATTAACATAAAAATTCTCATTCCATAGTGCATAACAATTCTTGAAGCAATCATTCTCATAACAATTCTTTAAGCAATGCCACCATTTTCATATGCATTCCTTTTGTTGTATCCCAAATTCAAATGGTTTTTACACACACACTGTGGTATTTTTTACCTTAAACCCAATTTAAAAAAAAAATGCTTGTGAAATTTGTCAGCAACGGAAGAAACCAAGGTAAAATTTCTACAGGAATATAGGATTTTGCTGCAAAATCACTAAAGGGAATAATGGTGAGATGCATTTGGTAGATAGCCAGTATGCAATTATCTGGTGCTTTTTAAGCAAAAACAGATTGATGTGTACATGGAGAGAAAAACAGTGCGGAAAAAGTTATTGAAAGATTTTCCAAAAAATGCGTTTTTATATATTTTTAATAATTAAAATTTGTATTTTAAATTTCTAAAGAATATTTTCTTTTGATATGTCAATAATGTTTGCCCACTTACATTAAATTTCAATAGTCTGGCAACCTTTTAAAAAAATTGCAATAATCCTCAAATTGCACCAAATCATTAATGTATAGAATGGTATCTACACTGATCAGCCAAAATAATATGACCACACATATACAGTGAGATGTGCTTGCCTGAAAGATGTAGCTCACAAGATAAGCAAGTTCCTTCCAGCATGGGACATTTATGGACGAATCAGAGTTCTTTAATCCAAAAATAGAGGAAATTTGCAAAAATATCTGCAGTACTTCATACCATTTTGTATGTTCAGCTTCATTCCATCTTGTATCTTGTGTGAAATAGTGTTGCTTAATATTTGGATCCCATGGCCCTCTCTAAAGTAAATTCTAAATTTTTATTGCATTTATGTGATCATCCAAAAGAGTTGCTTGAATGGTGTATGAGAGTAGGATTAATTGCAGGTAAGTATGAATGTCCAACATGTGGGAATGAAATGAGATTGTGTGAAAGGAGGATATTACAGATAAGTTTAGCATAAGCGTAATTCGGCTAGCAGATTGTTGGAAAAAATGTTGAGTAAAAAAAAAAAAAAAAAAAAAAAAAAGAAGCATGCCTTTAGTTCGTGAAAACAAAATGGTGTCCCCCCAAAAAACTAGCAAGTTGCTGCAGCAGGGCAGGTTGGCAAATTTTCGCCAAGTTACCATAATCCGAAGATTAACCACTCTCTTTTTTAAAGACAGTTATTGTCTATTATCCTATAATTAGAACCAGTTAAAAGTCTAATTACATGAATAACATCTTAAGAGCTTCCTTTTTTCTATAGCAAGAAAAATTAATTTTTTCTTACAACTTTACAGAAATTAACTTCCTATAGAAATTAAAAGGTTTAAATGAGAATTTTTTTTTTTTTTTTTTTCAAATGGAGATGAAGATAATTCAACAAGAAAAAGGAAAAATGAGAAAAAAACTTAGCTGAATACTTTACCATCCTTGTTAAACAGAAAGCCAGCAAGCTCCTAGTCAGCCAATATTTAGACAAATAATCAGCAAAATAAGTTCAGGAATAAATAATTAATTAAACTTCAGTCAGAATAGTCAGCCCAAGTTTGCAGTGATCTCTGCCAGTTTCCACAGTGAACAAGATTTTATAATTGGATAAGATACCAAATCAATTCTATGTTTTAAATAACTACAGAGATTTTGTTTATTTATCTCATGTATGTACACAGCACAAAAAAAAGGAAGGCAGTTCTATATCTCCCATTCTACTGGGCTGATTGAAATTCAAATTGCATTTTTCATGTCTCGAAAGTGTGACTCAGGATACATATTAGATTACACTGCACTGCATAGCACTGTTTTAATACAGATATTCTGACACAAAATCAGATGTTTTCTGAAATAACATACCGATTTTTGTCCATATTTCAATTTTACGATTCAAATTATGCTTAGATATTAAGTTTTGTAAAATTTGTTGCGAAATTTACATAGAAATTCAAAAATTCATCTCGGCGCAATGTCTTCAATTTGCGCCAAGAACAACTCACTTGGCGAACTTCTTAATATATGGCAACCTATTTTCCTTTCCCTTCCATTATGGCAGAGCCGAACAAAAAGCACCTCGCTCCTACCGTTTTATATTGTGCATGAGCTAAAAAAAAGTCACATCATTCCTACCTTCAAATAATTTTAACACAGAATCTAAACCACATTTGATGTTTCATTGCTTTCAACAAATATGCCAAATTTCAAAACATGCCAATATATAAATTCACGTACATCTTCGAAAATTTTGAATAAAAAAACTGTAATTTTTTTGCAGGTATGCTTAGAAATACGTCTACTTTAAGATGATGGTAAAAAGTTTACAGTTTATAATTCAAAATTTATAAAAATTATGAGTCATAGAATTGAAATATGGAAAAAAATTGGCATGTCATTTCAGAAAAAGTCTAGTTTTGTGTCAAAATAACTACATAACAATGTGTTATATATAAATCTAATACATATCCTAAGTCGCGCTTTCAAAACATGAAAAACGCAAGTTGAATTTTGTCAATCAGCCCAGCAGAACGGGAGATATAGAACTGTCCCATTTTTTTTTCGCAGTGTACATTTATACATTTATACCTTTTAGCATTTCACAGTAACCATGTTAATACAAATGAACTTCCGTACAAATTAAGTTTCATTACTTCAATATTTTAAATTAGATATTTCCAATCATTTTTAATCTTTACATTAAAATTTCAAGATGACTTTTTTAATGATTTTACAGTGGACATCTGAGGGAAACTGTTTTAAATCTAATTTCACATATATTTTATATGTGCATATACATTTCATCCTTGAAAAGGGAAACATGCTCAATGAATATACACAAATATGCATTCTATTCATATTTTTTAGTGATTAGGCATTTTCAAATATGTTATTTTCTAGATTTAAAAAATTCATTACAATCTTGTATTTCTGTAATTTATGCTAGATTTTATTCCAATGTTACAAATACATAAATTTATCTGAGAAAACTGATTTTCGTACATAACTGTTCCGGTATTACAGCAATAAAAATTCAATTGCAATTTCAGCTAATAGGCATTTTGAAAAATGTAATTTTCACAAAGGTAAAGCATTTTTGTTCAGTTGATAGAGGTCTAGCAAGCATAATTGGTTAATCTTTAGATTATGGTAACTTTGCGATTTTTGGCGAAAATTTGGCGACCAACCCTGCTACAGCAACCTGATAGTGTTTTTTTTTTTTTTGGATGCCATTTTGTTTGCCGAATTACGCTTAGCTAGAACTTTTATGGAACAAAAGTGCTTAATCATGATGAAGATTAGGTGCAAAATTGGGAGAAAGTGCAAAATCGCAAACAGCTTGCCGCGTTTTTAAGAATTCACATACACGGTATCCTTACCGTCAACCTATTTTCACTTAAAAAACATCAGAATTGCCCAAAAAACGGCATGCGCACTCTTGACTTTCATTCAGCTAAAGTCCTAGCTAGTAACCTTTATCGCCTTACCAAAATGTCACCAAACTACCTGTTACCATATTCCAAAGATTAGCCACATAATTTTGTCAAGAACCATAAGAGGAGCGGCAAAGTGCGGATTTTCCTAAATAAAACAGTATTAAAATAAAATGTCAGCTATTATTGTAGGGTAACCAAAAAATTTTAAAGTTATGATAAACCAAAGTTTCATTAAAACTCCACTGCAGCAACAGCTTTTTCCTTAGCTTTGTCTTCTCAAGTTTTGCATACATTATGTCGCTAGCTTTCATTTTAATAGTTCTCACATAACTACATTCCAAGCAAATAACAATAAAAGTAACTAACTCACCACAAGCATTGTTAAAGGGCAAAAGGTCTTTCTTTACCCCTTCATAGAACAGCTGCCTATGTAGTAAAAATCAGTTCTCACAAATCTGCTCAAGCACTGATGCTGGATAAGCACTGCACCTTGAAAGAGTATTTCATTTACAGAAAATTACAATCAAAGGGCAGCATCTGTTGACCCCTGGTAAAAAAACTGGTGCCCTCATTTGCTGTTAACTATCACTAATCAAAAATGATATAAGTACTTTGTATAATTAAAGCATACAAATCAAGAGCAAACAAGCAGTCTTTTTCACCATATGATTCACACAAACACAAAATTCAGTATACCTAATTTCTCAACCATCTCAGGAAAAGAAACCAAGTACTTTACCATTAACCAGGTGTAAATTACAACTTAGCAAATATAGTAACATTTCAGTTAATAGAATGTGAATTATTACAAAATACAACTACACAGTTTAAATTAAATTTCAATCACAAAAGTATGATACGGATGTAACATTAGAGAGTTTTTAATCTTGACAATGATTTTTTATATCTGCCCAATTGAAAAGCATCCAAATACTACAAGTAAGGCATATAATCAGGCCTTTCAATTTAAACAGCACATTCCAAATAAAAAAATTCTTCTATATTATTAACAAACCACGGTTACCAGTAATTAAATTAATAACATTCAGATTAACAATCTTGTCCATAACCTCTTGACTCCACAGGTCCACATATGTGGACCTTCAATTTTGCAATGCTGGAAAAATTCCAGTACACTTTTACTCTATTGTAACTCGATTCCCACGTACAGGGATGTTTCAGCTTTTCATTTTTACCAATGGATGGCAGAGCAGGTGCATACTTTTGAAGAAATCAGAGCTACAAGCCGGATTGTTTTGTAAAAATGGCGCCGTCGAAAAGTCTTCGCAAAACGTAAGTAATAATTAATTAATTAATTTAATTTTATTAAAGTGGATATTTAGAGCTATTTAGATTAAAGCTTTTGTTTAACGTTGTTGTTTGTTCGTCAAAGTTATTTTTGTGGCAATTTTTGTGGCATTGAAATGTGTATAGGTCCGCATACGTGGACGTCAGTCCGTTAGGGAAATTAGGCTCAGCTGACGTTTTTTAAATATTACATAATTTCAGTTACTGTTTCCTGAAATTTATGTTTCAGAAACAGCTCACTGATGGCACAAGTGATTATATACATCTAGTATGTAATGTAATCTTAAATTATTTGTATTTTTACAGGTTTTTTTTTTACCTTTTCTTTCTCGTTTTATTTTTGAATTAAAATATAATATTCATAATATTAGACTTCTACTCTTCATATTCTTTGACCCATTAAAATAAAGACAATGCATAGCTATTACTGACCTGATTTTATATTTTAATGAATTTATTGTTGGTAATTTCTTTGTTATTTCATGTTATTAGTTATAACTAATAGTAACTCAAGTTAACATGCTTGTAGGATGACTTTTAGAATGCTCCAGAGCCTTTTACACCCTTGGCCTTCGTGTTTTGAATACCTGAGCGTGGAATGTTTTGAAGAAGTAGCTGCCCAAACTAATTTGTAGTATGTTCATCAGAAATATAAATCTGTAAACACGAACGCAAATGAAATAATGCGACTTATTGATCTCAATACTTGGATTGACACACTGAAATTCCCTCAAGCAGAATTATATTAGTCACGAAACCTATCAATAAGATGTTTTCATGAAACAATGGCAAGAGAAAGACTATTCACTCTGCCCCAAAATTTTCATTTTGCAGCTAATTTAGCATTCCATGTAAATGATGATAAACTTTGGAAAGTACAAACCTTTTTAAATCCCATCAAGGAAAAATGCCTTATTTTGCCTTGACCGCAAAACATTTCTTTGGAAGAGCAAATGATTCCTTTCACGTACTATCGGTGTACTGAGATGACAAAAAAAAAAAAAAAAAAAAAAAATGGCCAGTTCGAATCTTCTCCCATTTTGTGGATTTGGTGGTAGCAAAGTGTTGGGCGATGCATGTCCGCTATTACAAGCGAAACAATCTTACGAGTACTAAATTCCTCATGGAATAATTGCATGCTAGATGTATCAGCATTGCGCAGATATGAAGGAAATATAATAACTAATAGAGAGAGGCTTAAGAACTCCCTTCAAGTTCAGGTGAGGAAGAATACCCTAAGAAAGCAGAGGAAAGTAATTTCTCAACCAGTAAAGAACACGAGTCCGGATGGTGTAAATCACTTACCAAGACTCATGGATAACAAAAATGCATCTAAACGTAGAATGCCAGAGTGCACATAAAGAACAAGAATATTTTGTATCAAATGCAAAATGTATTTATGTGTATTAAAAACAATTATTTTGAAAAGTTTCATACAAAATAATGTGTTGATAAAGATAAAATATTAGTTAAAGTTACTTAAAATTATTAAAACAATCATACATTAGGATGTTATTGTGAAATTATATGTGTCCATGTTTTATTTCACATTTTAAACTAATGACGGCTTTAAATACTAAAAATTTATAGTGTTAAAATATGAGATTATTTACTTATTCGAATCCCAAGGTACACATATGTGTACCTAAATTTTTTGGTTCCCAAATATACATGTACCAAAAAAAATCCCTTTTTTCCCATCTATAGACAGAAAGCAAGCATATAAACTTCATGAATTATTTTTAAATTAAATATTTTAACTTCGGGTGTGAAGAGGATAATATTATAAAACTTGAATTGCAGTAATAGTAATGATGACAAACATTACTTTAAAAACAATGCATGTTTATTTAATGCTAGTCAATTAGCATATGAAAGATGTTGTGTAAGTACAAAAAAAAGTTAACCCACACTGCTTCCTTATAAAATGAACACTACATTTTTAAAAGTAATTTGCAAATACTCACTCACGGATATATCTTCTTTGCTTCAAAATGACATTGCAAATAGCTTAACATAACTAATTTACTCTCTCAATAACCCTGATAAAGCATAGACTTATAACCTCGAGATGGAACTAAGTAAATATATTTATTTTTAACGCAACAGCGAGGAGACTAGTGATAAATTCTATTTGATATACACTTTTTAAATGTTACGTTGAACATATAAAATGGGTACCACAACAGAACCCTTTTAGGAAAGAAAACATAACCTTATATTCAAGTCGATACGGTATTTCTAAAAATCATTTATAAACTTTCATACTTTACTAGGACCATCTAGATGTGAATCCGATTCTTGATCACTGTCACTCATACTAAATAATTTTCACAGTAAATACTCAAAAAAAAAAAAAAAAATTGAAATCACGGTAAAACAATAACGAATCACGTTAAAAAACACTCGTTTCACATTTATTTCAATGAGCTCTTTGGTGCACTTTACACCCAAGTTTTCATGTAGGGAAAGAATTCTTTTAAAATTTTTAATAAATTTTAAAGTTAGTTGCACTTTGTTTAATATATACTATATATCAATGATCTAGTTTCTTCTCTAGTATTAATTGTCTACTAATTGCTGATGAGTATTAATTGTCTACTATTTGCTTGCACTGTGCAAAAAACCTTATTGAAAGTCGATTAAATAAGGCCCTCTCGAATTAGTGTGAATATGACTGCAAATTTGAAAAAACAATTTCACAGTCTATCTCTAACCCATAAAATGTTTGGCTCAGAGTTATAGTTTTGATTACCAACACGGACAACTTTACTTATCTAGGAGTGACTTTTGATAATAAATTAAGGGGGGGGGACCTTCATGTTGAGCAGGTTATCGAACGTGTTTCAAATAGACATAATATTCCTGAACATTTAGCAGGCTGTAACTGGGGGTGCGTTCGGTATACTCTTTCACATTTAATACTTATATCCTGGATTTAATGACA